ACTGACTGATGTTGGAGAGCTTTGTTTTTTTTTCAGTAGAGAAATGGGTATGAAGCAAAAAAGAAAAAGGGAAAAAAAAATGCTATATTCTATTAAGAAAATTTTCAAGCAAAAAGTCATAGATGTTCCTTGAATACCTGTCCAGAGGGTTGGAAGCTGAACATCTGAGGGTTTTCTAAAGCACTGAAATACTGAGCACGATTTTAAAATCTCTACTTTTGCTGCAGTACTAAATGAAAACTCTCACTAGCTGCATATAATTAGAATGCATTTGCTCATGAGTCTAAAATTACTGTAGGCTGATTAAGGGATAATCCATTACAAGACACAGCAGCAAGGTCTAACAGCATCTCTCAGAAACCAACCACTTACATTCAATCTCTGTTTCAGAGGTAATGTCAGTGGGATTGAGTCTCACCAAAGCCTAAGAGCTCTATAAATGGTGAGTCAAAATGAGATTATGTGTTGAAGGATAGAACACTGCTCAGTCACTGTCTTTTTTATGTTCTGAGTGACTAATGTGATTTAATTATTGCATTTGAAGGATACTGGTATTACCAAATTCACAGTGCCATACCAAGCTATTAATTCCAGTATGCCTAAAGCTACTGTTTTATATTTCAGAGGCAAAGATACTATAGTTTTTTGGGAGAGTGGAGTGGCAGGGAGAGAAGTCCTACAAGGCCCCATTATCTCCCAGTTCCTTTCCATAGAGTGCTTATTCAGCTCTTCAAAGTAGTGAAAAACTCTCCACAGGCAAGTTGCTACCCCTCTATTCTGAACTTTTACTTGCCTGACTTGAGACACCTCTGAATGCTCAGAAGTTGAGAGCATTCACAAATGAAACCAAAATCCCTAAGAGTGAACTGCTGGGCCTTCAGAGTACTATGAGTTATCTCCTGTATTGTGAAAATTCAGACTTCAAGTGGAACAGGCATCAAACTTGCTGAAATTTTTCTTTACATTTGGGATCAGTAATTTTTGCCTCATGGAAGTGCTACAACTTTAATTAATGTTTATGAAAGAGACCATACTGAGACAAATACAGGAAACCTATGTTGATGTTAATTTTCTTTTCTTTAGAACAAGATTCATTAAATGTCCAGTGAATAATATCCTTGGCTAACAGAAAAGCTTGAGATACTTGGTTGATTATTTCTGGCCTTCTGCCTCAACCAAAGATAATTACACTGTTGCCTCAGATGTTTAGCTCTTGCTGTTCTCCTTTCCCAGCAAGTGAGAATGCAAATGACCTGGAAAGAGCTACTACTGGACAAGTTTACCATGTCCAGTAAGAAGTTCTGCCCTCTTCAAGATTTTGACCATTACAGAATCTCCATCCCTGTTGAAAGAAAAATATTACCTTCCTTTTCAAAATAGCTTTTTACCCCCTCTTGGAAAGGTCTAATTGTAGGAAGAAAAACATCAAAAATTCAGTTTTCTAAAAGCTAAGAGAGAAAAAATATTGGTGAAGGCAACTGTCAGAAAATCAAGATCAAGTGTGTTTGTAATTATTTGGCTGCTTATTTAGATTACATCATAATCCACAGGAGACATGCCTTTGTGTTGAGTGCTGCTACGTGTACCTTTGAGTTAATACAAACACAGGAACAGTCAAGTTGATTATCCCAAGAGCACAATTGTTTACATAGATAACGACTTGGCAAAGCTCTTAAGTATATGTTGGATTATAATGGCAGCACCTAATTTTTACATATTCTGACATCTAGTGGAATTTATTGATCCTAGCAGAATATCTGTGTTCATTTGTATCTCCAATGACTGGGAGAAATGAAGAAAGTTAAGTATTCCCTTCTTGGATATAAAGTTCCCACCTGGAGAACTGAGTAAGCAGTGCATTAGATAAAAGGTGAAAACAGAAGAATTTGGCCTAAGCCCTGCTCCTTTCAGACACATGCCCACAAAGACAGCTGCAAAGAGATACAAGGCCCCTGATCTGATCTCTGGTTTTGAGCTTGGAAATATTTTATAGTGACAGACATAGAATAATCCCAGTAACATTGATAGATTGTCTCAAAAGCTATTTGAGCCTGCATCTGCTATGTGTACCTTAATAGCTTGCCATTAATTAAGGCCATTAAGCTGAGGGTGGTCTTGTTTTCATCCATATTCCATGCCTTTCACAGAATCACAGAATCATCAAGGTTGGAAGAGACCTTAAAGATTATCCACTTCAACCATCAACCCACCATAATCACCCTAAAATGCATCCCCAAGTGCCACATCCAGATGTCTCTTGAACACTTCCAGGGATGGTGACCCTAACACCTCCCTATGCAACATATTCCAGCGCCTGACCAGTCATTCAGTGACTTTTTTTTTCCTAATACCTAATCTAAACCTCCCCTGACACAACTTGAGGCCACTTCCTCTCATCCTTTCACTTGAGACATAGCAGAAGAGGTCAATTCCCACCTCACTACAACATCCTTTCAGATGACTGTAGAGATCAATGAGGTCCCTCCTGAGCCTCCTCTTCTCCAGACCAAAGAACCTCATTTATCTGGAATAATTAAAATTTTGATGGACTGAAGCCAGGAAGAGTCTATGAGTCCATGGCAAAATGGAATATAGGGGAACATATGGAGTATAGAGTCCTGTTTCCTGTCACAAGCTGGTTAGGCTGTCTCTTAAGGTTTGACAGGTATTCCTGCTATTCCTATTTGAAGTATATTACAGAACACGGTTTTGTTTTCTTTTTGTGTTTTGTTTTGTTTGCTTTGGATTTTCCTGTGTTTTGTTTTAACCTGGTGACTACTGCATTTAGTTTAAGTAAGGTTTTGATCTCCATTTCTGTCATGTGAACAAGTCAAAACCCTTTAGTGTCCTTTTAGAAAGGATCTAATTTTTCCTTTTCATGCACCTATTTCAGTTTAAATATATATTCCTTGAATATAAGTATTCTACAAGAAAGGACAGACATAATCTCATCATGATTTGTTCAGCACCTCTTTATATCTCTGTGTCTAATGGCATGCTTTGTCTGATACTTTATAAAATAATTTAAAGATTATATGAATTTAATGGCTTTATCACATTGGTATTGTATAGAAGTATTTATTAGTCTGTATAAATGTATCATCTCACACTTTGTACTGATTATTAATCCAGGTCTTGAAGCTTCCCCTGACTGGTTTTCTGCTTTACACTGGTGATATATCTCTCAGTTCATCTTTTCAGCACAACCAGTTTCATTTCTGCATTTACACTGGACTGTTGACTAGAAATAGATTTTTTTGACCATAAATAGGGTTTCTTTCTTATGATCTGTATATGTGCTATACCCCAGTTCTCAGTCTGCTGACTCAGAATACCTGGCCATCACTGGTACTGCTGGCACAGTGCTGTAGGCAGCGGTAAAGAGATGCTGCTAGGCAGTAATAACAGCTGAGGAATAATAGTTTAATAATAATAATAGCACAGTGCTTGAGCAGGAGGGGCAGGTGAGAGAATATGCAAAGAGTATATTCCCTTAGGGTAGTACCTCGGGTGAGAACATGGGAAGGAGAGAAAAGTTTAGCTGGAGTCTTCTGAGTACCAAGACTGGAAGGCTGGGTTACCACGAAGGGTGTAAGTACCAAATAAGTATCATCAGGCTGGTAACACAGCATAAGGAGGAGGAACACAGCATTGGGAGGTGAGGTCTGAGCCTCTGCAGGCAAGCCCTGGTGAATTCGCCAACCTGTCCCATGGCTCACTGTCAGAAAAATCCACAAACACCAGAGGTTTATGTTCAAAAAGGAGACAGGGGAGTCCTGCAACATTATTCGAATTAAAGGAAAGAATCCACTGGAGCACACACCTGCGGGGTTTGTTCTCTCGAGGTTTCGGAGGGCACAGCCTCCTTTTATCCTGAACTCCCAGCCGCATGTTGCCCTCTTCCTTTGCCCACTGGCTGAGATACAGGGAAGGTACAGCCTTCCCAAACCACCTACCACATATTCCCCACTTGAACCTACTGTTTTACCCCAAAGCTCAGAAACTCAGGTTTGTGCAAACCCTTGTCTGCTCCAGGAGCCAAGCTCTCTGGGTTCTGCAATAAACCTGCTGCCCAAAGTCAGTAGGGACATTAAGCCTCATTTCAAAGATGTTAACACCCATACCTTCACCCATCAGATTGTTTGTAAAGACATTAGAATTCCTCTCAAATTTGTCTTTGACAAAGACAAAACGCTGCAACACTAAAAAACAAATAGGAGAAGGGCTCAGTGGCTTGGGAGGGATGTGCCAAAGAGCCGCGCCCTCTTGGACATTTCTTAAAGTACAGCCAGCTGTAGTCCTCTCACACCACTACTGTATAAATATACAGGGACAAAGTTCTGGAAAGGGTGTCAGGCATTGTAACTTCACCCACAAAATACAAGATCACAAGGACAATTTTTGTGACTCCGAAAACTCACTGCAGGGAGTTTTAAGAAATACTTAGAAGACTTTTTGATGCGGGGATAGACTACAGAGACAGGAGCTACTATGCTTGGGCTCTCGCAGGCCTCTGGCACCCCATCATTCTGCTCTGGCCACCAGCGGTGCCTCCGCCTGATCAATGTTTGACAGTGGCGATAACAACAGCGTCCGTCCCATGCAGGTGGCTGAACTTCATGGCACAATCCAGAGTGTGCTGTCAGCTACTGGTCGCGAACTAGTTTCTTGTTACGATTTTTCCTCAAGAGCTGCTCTTGAGGGACTCCATCAGTAACTCTCTACCTTGCTGATTTCCGTTCCATGCACTTCATTTCTGGGCCGCAACACGCACGGACTGTTCAAATGAAATCTCAGCACGCAGCTCGGCTGTATCTGTGAGCTGTCCGCAAACCCTCGGCGATGGCAACAGCCAACTCGCCACCCCCATGAGGGCCGGGAGCGCCCCTCCCTCAGCGCGGCCCCTCGGCCACCGCCAGGCGGCGCCGGGCGCTGCCGGAAGCGGGGCGGGCTCTGGGCCGGGGCCCCGCCCGGCGCAGGCGGCGCGGGGAGCGGGGCCGGGCCGGGCCGTGCGGGGCGGCGGCCGCCGGCGGGCCATGCTGCTAAAGCTCCTGCAGCGCCAGACCTATACCTGCCTGTCGCACAGGTATGGGCCCTGCCTCTGCCTCGGGGGCCTCGTCCTCATGATCGTCTCCGCCCTGCAGTTCGGGGAGGTCAGTACGGCGCCGCGCCGGCGCGGCGTGGCTGCCCCCCTTGCCCTGCCCGCCTCCCTCCCTCCGCCGAGCCGAGCGGTACCGGCGGGACAGGCGCAGCCCCGCGGCTGCACGGCCCCGGGGGGGATCTGGGGCTGTTTTACCTCTGGGAGCCGGGTAGTTGTGTTGTCCCGCGAGCAGCCAGGTCCCTCTCCGGGCGCCTTGCGGCTGACGGGTCCCGCCCCTGGCGGCGCCGTGTGCCCCGTTCGCGCTGCCGCAGGCCCGCCGTGCCCGCGGGGACGGGCCGGCTCTGGCCGCATCCCGGAGCGCAGCCCCGGCCGCTGCCGCTCCCCGGGCCGCCCTGGCCGCACCTGTTGGGCTGCGGGGAGCGCTGGTGGCGGCGGCGCGCTGGGTGTCCCCTCGGGGGGTGAGCTGGGCTCTGACAGGTGACACAGCCGCTGCTGTTCGCTGCTCTTGGGCAGTTCTTTTCCACTTCCCTCATCAGGTGACATTAGTGCTGTGTTTTTGTTTTGAGTCTTTTAAAGCCTGTGCTGGATGTCACCTTCGCATGTCGACTGGGAGTGACAGAATCTTTCCTCTCTCCGGAGTTTAAGGAGTTAAATGCATCCTCCCTCCAAGCTGCGCAGCAGGGTCTGCTTTGCTCGCTGCGTGTTACTTAGTTCGCTCGTATTATTTTGTAAATGATGCAATGTAATTGCACTTTTTCTAGATACGATTTTACACGGATGTGTTGAATGTTTAAATCTTCATTTCACATTGTCCTATCGGTTTGGTAAGTCAACAGTGAAGGGATCTGGAGAGGAGTAAAGGAATCCTACTTCAGTGCAGTGTTTGCTCATGTAGTGAGGAATCAGGGAAATCAGGTATTTTTGTCAGTCTGAAAGGATGGCAGTGTTCAATACAAACAGACTGCAATTTCGTGGTTCCTAAGCTGTTACTTTTTTTTTTTTTTCCTTTTTTCTCTTTTCTGTTTTAGTTTGATGAGCTCTTTCAGGTACAGGGAAAGCAAGACAAGAGCCATAAGGAGTATTATCTGAAATTCCTGCGTGTACCACAATCAAAATTGTATTTTGTGTACTAACACATCTTTGCGTAACATCTCTGCTGTCTTGCAGGGACCACAAGTTCCTGAAACACTTCAAAGCCATCAGCAAATTAAGTAATTGTAAAGTGCATGTGGGCACCTCTTTGTACATGATTTTCAACTTGGATTGGTGGTTTTCATGGTGCTGTGAAACTGATACAGTTTTGCATTTCTTTGGAATGGGGACTTAAAACCCAGCTTTAGGATATCATAGAACTTTGAAGGTTTTAAAAAATATTTCAATAGTTGTTTAAGTTATGGCTGATTTTGCTGAGAATCATTCAAAATCACTGCTCAGATTTTCCTGATGAAGCTTAGTTTGCTGCTTCCAGCCCTTTAATGGCTACTTGGAAAATTTAGATTCAATTTAGAGAGTGAGCAAAAGAACTGGAAGTTTCATGTAGGAGTAGATTTTCCAATTTATATGTGAAGAAAAAAGAAAAGTGACCAGTAATGTTTGTTTGGTTGGGTTTTTTTTTAAAAAAAAAACAGCTGAAAAACACCAATGAAACACATGCGCACTTTTTTTTTATTATTATTATTTTTATTTTCTCTTTTCAAGGCTGGTAGATAAGCCTGGTGAGAGATGTTCACATGCATCTTGCTTTTTACCTTTGTATTTTGGTAAACAGTGGTAGTTCAGTAACTTAGGAGAGACAAGGCTTGTGAGAATGAGCACTGTTAGACCTCTTACAGCTATCGTGGGAATGGAAAATGCTTCTTTTCTTCAGTACAGAATCTGCAAGGCAGCAACTAATAAAAATCTATGAAGCTGTTTGGAAAATGAAACCAAGAAATCTTTCTAGACATTAACAGCTTAACCACTTTTAGCCATCTGCGGGAAACTTGAGCGATAAAAAGCAACGTGAGGCAGTGCTTATCAGACCCTGCTGTCTGAACAGCGTTTGCAGTTCTGCTTTTCCCCACCCCCAGAGCCAGCTTTTCTTTGTTGTAGTAGGCAAAATTAGGTCTGATTTCTTAGATTCATGCTAATACCAGTATTACTGGTGGAGTAAAAATGGATGGTTAGGGCAAATAATTTGAGATTGGTCATCGTGTTCTCACAGCCAGACGCTGCAATTTAGCTTCATTTGAAGGAAAACCTTGAGTTAAATGAAATAATGGGGCATTGAACATGGGTGAGCAATATTTCTGCAAAAACATGCAGGGTAGCCAGGTCAGGGTCAGTGCTGTTCCCTGTTTGTAAGATGAGCTTTAAGTATTAGGGCAGTTTGGTTATAAACTCTTCTTGGCCATCCTTCTGTAGTTGATAACCAGAACATGCCAGAGCCGCTCTTACTATGTCTGATACAGTATCTCCTAATAGGTGGTGTCTCTCCCCTTGATTTTAATATTCCCCTGGTGGTTTTATAATACCAGTATGTGAAGTTGAAGCAAAATAGCCTCCAGACATTATTGCACGATGCATAATGTCAGGAGGAAACAGTTGCAGGGAAAAAATGTATCGGGTAGGAAGAGTCTTTAACTTTGTTCCTTAGTCCACTCCTGTCTTCTCTTCTGAAGTCTGCTCTTCTTTTTGGCTATAGTTATGCAAAAGGCAAAGAGAAAGGCTGGAATGGTTAATGTTCTTCTGGAGAGACATATTATTCATAGAATATATTCTTACTCAAATACTTCTGTATTTCTTCTAGATACAGATCAGTCACAATGTTTCTATTCATAATTATCAGTAGGAGCAAATGTTTCCACGTGGATATGAACTTCCAGTCTGTACTATATTAAAGCTGACATTTAGCAGAAGGACTTAATGACTTGTGCATAAAAAAAAAAAGCCTAACATGATGTTTTTTAAAGACAATTCCTGACCTTGATATTTAAGGGAGGAGATTTTTATGCCTACCTGGGCAATCTGTGTCTTTTGTGTGAGGGGAATGGAAGTGTGCTGATGTGATCCTGGTTCCATGCAGCTCTGGCAGGAGCTGCGTGTGTGCTCTTGTCACCCAGGCACATGATGGAGCTTCCCTGCTCTGTGGAAGGCTTTAATGTGCTTTAGTGGCAATGAGGGTAGAGGGATGTGTAGACTCCTAAGACAGAGGACAGTTTGTGTATGGTTTTGAAGGTGACCTTAGAGAAATGGTATATTTCATAGTTCCCACAAGAGCGATAATAACATTTAAATCTAGGGAGAGTGTTGTAAAGTAAATGCTTTAAGTACTATGCTTTCCTGGTTTTCTTTCATTTTGTTTTGTTTTCGTTTGTTTGTTTTGGGGTTTTTTCCCCTTTCCAATACATACAAATATGTACTTATCCCAATAAATAAAGCCAGCATGACTTCAACTCTAAAACAGCACAAAAAGCCACTGTAGTTTCAAGGTTGGACTTTCACTGTAAAATATGTCATATCAAGTTTATCTCAGAGAACCTTTATGTTTTATATTACTTCTGTCTCAAAATATTTGGACTACTTTGTTATGTCAGAGCATAGTTACCACTTTTAGAGTTGAAAAATTGTGTTGTTTGTTTTTTTCCTGGCTGTTTGTTTGCAAAGCTCAGATTTTGGAGGTATGTATACTTCAGTATATCCTGTATGAGAATATAAAAAGATGAGCAAAATTGTGCAGGGGTGTGTGTGCCTGCTAAGGGTTTCCTGCTTGTACTGAAGTATATTTGATTTAGGTCTCAGTTTTGGGAAAACATTCCTGAATTTTTAAATGCTAAGAAGTAAGAGGGAGGTGACCTAAGTAAAAAGTAGTTTAAAAAGAGTGTGCATAAGTCATGAAATCCTTTGTTGCAGGGAAAAGCAAAGTTTGTTTAAATTAAGTATGCTCTTCAGTTCTGGGTCTGATTGCTGCTTCAGTATTGTAATTTAGTTGGGATTATGGTCTGCTCAGTTGTTCATTAATGCATAATGCATCAATTTGAATGAAATTAGCTGTGGTTAAAAATTTCAAAAGGTGAAAATTAAATGTCTAACTTTAGAAGGTGGAGACATCAAGTGGTTTTGGGTTTTTTTCTTTGCAGGTTGTCTTGGAGTGGAGTAGAGACCAGTATCATGTTATGTTTGATTCATACAGAGACAACGTCGCTGGCAAATCATTTCAGAATCGGTGAGCTTTGCCTACACTTGACATTATTGCACATTTTACTTTCTAATTAAATATTTAAATAAAATATATTAGTTGAAGTAACATACTGTTGAGTAAAGCCTTAGTGTATGGGCTCTAAATCTGCAGCAAATTTTAAGCTTAGTGAGTGCATAATCTCCCAGTTTGGAAAACTGGCTATTGAAAGCTCTAGTCATATAATAAATTTACATTTTAAATGTGTTTAATTCATCCAGTCTCTAATGAAGCATCAGAATGGTGACAATGTTAACAATGAAGGGAGGCCATGACATGTTTTCCAGGTGAAGATAGGAAAACATAAGTACTCTTCCGATGTGCTTAACATTTAAATATTCAATGTTTTGAGGAGTTATTTTTAAGTTACCTTGTGTTTTCTGTGATGTCTTATGAGGATTATTATTTAGCAGAGAAGTCACAAAGCTAGTAATAAGCTTTTAGAAGCTGAGTGCATGGGAGAATCTCTCACAGCAAGTTGGAAACCAAGACATATGGGCCATTTATTTCAGTTGTGTTAACTGCTACATGACTTGCTATGGTTTCATCATTCAATAGCCATGGGGTCTGGAGTTGGTAGGTGGAAGAAAGCTACTAAGAGCTGACTCTTAATATCGATACACTTGACTGATAGAAACTTACCCTGCAACCAGAAGGTTTAATCTGCCTTGAGGTTTGTTGCGTCATGGAACAGTAGAAGTGATCAGATCAATTTGTCACGCTTTAGTTGGTGTGAGATAACTGTAAAATGCATTGCATGGTGTTGGTGAATACTAGGAACTTTTATAGTCTCTTCTCCTATTCCTTTTCCCCATTTTCCAATGGATGACAGATAAAAGCAGTGATGCAGCTCATATGAATGAATAGCTTAATGTTTACGTGTTTTAGCAGTACTGCAGTGAAACATGGCAGTTTGGTCCTGTCACTACTAAAATGCCTGACTTTGTGATAACTACCTGGAGAGTTTTTATAAAACCGTTGGCATTTTCTGAAACAAAATCACAAATCTTACTCTTGTGGTGTAGATATAGTCAGTTCCCATTTCTGCACTGTTTCCTTACTTCATTTGGGTTGTGTAAAGCACTCCTTTGCTAGCTTTCGTTTCTGGGGACTGTGAGCAAAACATCCAGTGCCTGGTGAGGAACTATTGGCTGCCTGAGCAAAAGCTTAAGGTTTTCATTATGGGTGCTTAAATTATTCCAGTTCACCCATATGCCTTAAACAGTCTTATGTCAGGAGTAACAGCAAAGTTTGCTGTGATATTTGTGTGCAGCTGCCAACTTCCTCTAAAAATCCATACCAGCAGGAAGTGTTTGTGGAGGCATACTTTAAGGCATATGGTAACTTTTAGATGTCCCTTGTCAGGGGTTCAACTAATTTTTGTTATCAAACTTCACAAATGCAGTAATGGACCCTGTCTTGCAGCAGGAGTGGTTTGGTGGAGTTTTTTTAGGCTGATGTCAATGCAACATAAAGAGCTACACGTAAACTGAGGACTTGCAGATTGAATCTAGCTTGTCCAGTGATTTTAATCAGTTCCTATTTAAGTGCTAGAGAAAAACATTCAGAATTCAACAACAGAATTCCTGTTGAGGATAACAGGATGCTTGTTGGTTAGAAAATTAAGCAGGTGTACTGCTTTGTGGAAAGTAAAAGCTGCATGGCCTTTGGGAAGTATCAGTGGGCCTTCAATTGAATTTGTGTTTTTCTCTAGGAGCTTCATGTGTAAAATTCTCTGTTCTTTCCATAGAAGTTGTTAACTTATATGTGGACAACCTCCTTATGATGATAAACTCAAAAGTCTCATCACAAAAAAACAGGAACAGCTGAGTTACTGTTAATGCATAATTACAGAGCTGGAACAGGCAGGAGGGCTGGGATGTTTACTATGAGCAGCTTGGACTTCTGTTGTTCATAAAGAGGCTCAGCAAGGTTGGAGATCACCATGTGGTAGCTTGGGAGAGATCCAAAGTCTGCTGTACTCCTCCAGCAACAGTGGATGTTGAGACAAAAGTTTGTCTCCTACCTGCAAACTCAGCTGTGACAATGGTTCTCTTATGTAAACACATCATGGGCATGGGAAATTCCTGCCAGCAAGTGTTCCCCTGTCCTGTCTGGGGGACTGGTAGCTCTGGTTTTGTCTCCAAGCAGGATCCTATGGACATTTTTCAGTTTTCAAGTAAAAATGGATACATTTTGTCAAGAGAAAAATATAAAAAACACAATTAGTTGTTTGGGAGTCTCCAAGGAATTTTCCAAAGTGATGATTTTCTGTAGAAATGTGTTAGGATAGTTCCCACTTGAAATCAAATCACATTTTCAAGTCACATCTGTTAGTTACCTAAAAGTTAGTCATGTCAAAAAGGGGAAATAGCTGATTAGAATGGTGGCTGTATTTAGTAAATTAACTCAGGTCATCTTGGGCTTAACCCGTCTGCCAGACTGGTGTTTCTGATGACGACGGAATGTATAAATGCATATGAAGGAAACACAACTACAGAATTTGAGAGAGAGTTTTTGAGCTCCTCTGAACTTCAACAATCTGCAAAAGACTCCAAATACTTAAAACAGTATTTGAGAACAGTACTGCTGAAGTGTAGTATCTGTTCCTTTTCATTTTAAACCATTTTACAGCAAAATTCCAATACATACTTCTGAAAATACAAACTCTCAGTGTACTTTAGGAAGCCATGAAACCATCCAGAAAGGTACAGTTTTAACAGAGTTACTTGGCTTAATTGGAAACAACAAATTGACATATCAATAAGGTATGATAGATACCTTAAGGTAATGGGATATCTGATTTTTATTCTTATGTTTGGGAAATATTACTTTCTGAAACAGTGTCTGCTGTAAAGGTGCATTAAGGAAATTTGTTATTTGCATAAATTTTAAGCAATTAGTCTCATGGATCTGCAAAAAATTCACTTTTTTTACTGGTCTGTCTCTGTTGCTACTGGTAATGAACTTACCATGCCAGGGTTATTGAATTGACTTGTCTGCATCTGACCAAAAACGCTTTTCCTCTGCGGTATTTACTGGCTTTTGGCTGTATGTGGCATAGTGTAGGAAATTACACAGGTCTATGTGCTACCGCACATATGTATGTGCACACTTTTAGGAAATGGTGAGACGGAGAAAGGCTTCACAGAAGTCAAAATTGCCTCATACCATAGAAAGAGTCAGAGTTCTTTTGGACATACTGTGTTCTTCAATGAAGCCTGGGCGCATAAGCTCTGGACTTTGCCCATAAAGCTGAAGGTTGGTCATTTTTGAAATCCACTGACTTGAGTCAGGTGCTTCCACCTTGAACACTCCTTTCTGAGCTGTAGCATTCCAGGGACTGTTAAACAAGTAATTTAATTGAGCACAACAAACGTAGAAAAATGGAAGAAAAAATGTAGCAAAGCTGGAAGAGCGTCTGCCATTGAATTTCTACTCCTCTGGAGGACGTTTTAGTTCAAAACTTGCCTTGTCAATGAACCAGAAGTTAGTTATCTCTATAATTGAATATAATTGAATGTATATAATATATAATTGAATATAAATGGAATTGAATAGAAGGGTAATTGTATTCAGTAAATTGACTTTCTTTAGATAGAAAGGTAGTCTCCTGCAGATGTGAGAGACTTTCTGGGTGGTGCTACTGGGGAAGGCAGCACTCCAGCTGAGATGTTCAAATTGTCTCAGAATGCCCCACCATTGTCCTCTGAGTGTTACAGCTCAGTTAGGAGCAGCGGTAAATTGAGTATGAAATGTTCCTGCCCATTGTGCTGTGATGAGCTACTGGCTGACCTTTTACCAAATTTTGTGCTTCAGTTGTTGAGTCTGAGCCAGTAGAAAGTGAAACTGAATACAAGCTCTCTGCATGGCATGCTGTGCAAGGGCAGGTGGACAAAACACCTGCCTGTAAACTCAGTCTCTCTTTGAATGCTTTTGGAAAGATGCAGTTGATGGAGAGAGAATATCGAACCTCTCTAATGCTGAGATCCATGGGGTCACAGGATGATGTTTTCTGATGTTTGCTAGGCCATCTACAGTTTAGGAAGGTCTTAAATAGCTTGACATTGGAACTTTAGAAAATAATAATTGGCGTATCCTCCTGCTATATGGGACTCGGATTCACCGATGGCAGTAACCTGAGTACCTGCAGACACAATGCTGTGGGCCTTGGAGAGGAGATTATCATTAAAAAAAAAATAAGAAAAAGGTACCCAAACACCTTCCTCCTGCCTTATGCATGCTAGGAAATCTTTAACTTTCCAGAGACAGTTCCAGGATATTCAGTTGTGTCAATAATTAATTTGTCTGCCATATCTAGAGCCTGAATTCGTATACCCAAATTAGGTTGTTGTTTCATTAAATGCCCTATTTATATAATTTAAGAGACATTCCTAGGATAGAGATCTGGTCCTGCTGAGATCTTATTGGCTCTTTGCAATCAAACAGTAAATATGATTTAAGTTATACTTCATTCTGTGCTGTCTGAAGTAGTTGGTGAATTAAGAATGTGCTCAGGTCTCGGTACTGACTTGAAAATATTTGATAGGTTTGAAGGAGGAGGGTCATGAGTTTGAGTCAGTGAAATTTAAAGCATAAAGTTAGGATTTCCTTTAGTCACTGAATGGTTAAAACCGCTTTTTAAAGTCCTTTTGGTTGATGTCTATGCTGTTTTGTCAAAGGCTTGTGTATAATTAAGACATGATATATATAGCTAAAGTCTTTTTGTTTTGTCTTGTTTGCAGCCGAGACACCAAGCATTTCTGTTGTTAGACAGAAATTGCTATTGTGGAATGCCACAAACACTTGTAATGTAATATTTAACAACTCATGTAGCTTTCCTTTGAATTATGTAGGCTTTGTTTACCCATGCCAATTGATGTGGTGTATACCTGGGTGAACGGCACAGATGTGGAACTGATCAAAGAATTGCAACAGGTCAGGGAACAGATGGAGGAAGAACAGAAAATAATGAGGTAATAATCTTAGATATTTTTCCCTTTAACTGACAGCAGCAATCTAATGCTGTACTAGTTTTCTTTGTTGTTATTTTTTCCCATGTTACTCAACATGAAAATTAAAAGCACATTTTCTCACTTCTTCATTTGATTATTCCTAAAACCTTATTTCAGTTCTACTTTTAGCTGTCAAGTACTGTCTAATTAGGAAATTGTTTAAGATAAGCAGAATAATTAAGGCTGTTCTGTCATGAATTTGTAAAATGCCATGTGGAAATCTGTGCATTGTATATGTAATTTTGTATTGATTTCTATAGCAGTTTGTAAATAATAACAATAATAAAACTATGCCTCACATATATAACCTCTCTTCATCACTTTTTTCTCTTCCCATCCCCCTGGTGTTTCTTTTTATAGTAGGCTTCATAAAATCTTAAGCATGTTTAAGTTCCTGTTTTTAGATTAGTTACATTCATAGTCTTGCAAATACTGAAAATGAGAAGTGGGAAAATAATTTATGCATGTTATAAAGGTATGAGTTGGCCTTTATCTAAGGAAGCAAAGACATGTATTACTGCATTTGTTGTACAATGTGCTATAGAGTTCTGCAAAGTTACTGATCTAAGTCTTCAAACACAGGCTGCTGCCTTGGATTATGTCTTGTAACCATTGATTTAGTTTTTGATAGGCAGCTCTGCCCACATGATCTGTTTTGGCCAGTAAATATGCTAAATGGAAGGACAAGTCTGTATTTTAAGGGTTATAATAATTAAGTTCAGAAAAATGAGAAGTCCACGTGGATTGGTCTGATTTTTGGCATGCTGTGTCTTGCAGTTTAGGTACAACTGACAGTATGATCTCAAGGGAAATTCTTGATCTTTTCTTTGTTACCTAAACACTGGATATATTAGAACTTAATTAGACCTTAAACATAAGCAGTCTCTGCTCTGAAAAGCTTTTTTGCTTTTTATGCTAATATTTTCCTAGATGTTCATATAGCTAATATTAGTGGGTTTAGCTTTGTCATCACTTATGCTGTGATTCCTGTTTCAGGAAGGGAAAACACAGCTTTTTTTTTTCCATAACACTGATTTGGAAAATTGAGTCTAAGCTTATGAATAAGACTGGTGTCTATACCATGTTTGCTATCTACAGGAACACCTGGTTCCCCCCACTGTAGATAATTTTTTTCATGTCCTTTGAAATCAGTGAGCACTGCTATAAAAAGAGCAGTTTCATAGACCTTATCAGAATATTTATGTTAGACAAAACAATCAAGTCAGCCTAGTTTCAGGTCACTTCATCCTGGTTCCTTACCAGTGTTTTTCACATCAACATTGCTTTTTTTAAGTAACCTAATAATAACCCCATAAATTCCTGGTAGCAGAAAGGGTCCTGCTGCCACAATTCTCAGCATGGCCATGAATCTTTGAGCTCCACATGGCACATGAGCAGTGAAGGGTACGTGTCAGTCTTTGCTTGCCTGGGCAAGGCCAATGGCAAGGACTTGGCAGCTTTTTATCTGGGTTATTGGTGATTAGAAAATATGTCCCTGACTCAATTAACAATTTGAAATTAGACTCACTTCCTTACAGTCAATTCAGTGTTATTTAACAACCTTGTTTTAACTTTGTAATAGGGAAATCCTAGGAAAGAATGCAACAGAACCAACAAAGAAGAGGTGAGTTTTTGGGATTTTTGGGTGTAAATTGGGATAAATGATACTCTACTCATTGTTAGCTGAAAGCAGATGCTGGTTGGGGGGCTGGTTTGGTTTTCTATAGCCTTTGCAGGCTTTCTTATGTCACTTGAAGAGCTGATAGCGTGATAATACATGTGCTGAATACAAGTAATGTTGTGACATATATGAACAAGATTCTTAAAACATAGCAATTTCTGGAGTTTTGAATGTGTGTGCCTGTCACTGTTTAGGGTTAGTTCCTGTTCTGAGTATGAAAAAAATTTCACATTTTGAATCATAAAGCTCCAGGTCCATAATATGCTTTAAAATTTCAATGTTGCTTTCACCTGCCATTTGTATACATGGCACTGCAAGTAATTGGCTGTAGAGGGTCCATGCCTCTGGTGGCTCTGCTGTGGAAACAGCAGGACCAGGTCTGTCTCAGTGATTTGGCTTGGCGCTTTCGTTATATAGAAATTTTTATAAGGTCTTTTCTGTGGGTGGACTTGGAAATTTTGGAAACTTTTGAAAAAACAATTATGGAAACGAACTAAACACTACCAGTCAGATATTTGCCTTCTGCAGGAAAATAAGCATGCTCTTCAATAATTTCCCCTTGCCATAGCAAATGTTACAGATAATTAATCAGATTTTATGAAAACTTTTCTCATTGCATCCAAGGCTGATTTTTATCTTAAATTTTCTAGTGGTGTTAAATATGCCTATGGTATTTTGCTGTAGTGAGAAGCAGCTGGAGTGTTTGCTGACACACTGCATCAAAGTGCCCATGCTTGTCCTGGATCCTGCACTGCCTGCCAACGTCACACTGAAAGACCTGCTGTCCATTCATCCTGCTTTACAAGCTGCTAACAATATGTTCTTTGTAGCAAAACCAAAAAATCCTTCCACCAATGTGACTGTAATTGTTTTTGATAGCCCAAAGGACGGTAAGAAGCTCTTTGTCAGATTCCATCCAGTTTTCTAGAGCAAGTTTTAAGCTGCTGTGAATTAGTTTTGTTTTGTTTTTGGGGTTGTTTTGTTTTTTTTTTTCCTCCAGTACTGACTTCAATGCTGATTTTTTGTTTGACTTTAGCAAGTCATTCAGTGTCTCTCTTGCCCTCCTCTAAATGATGACATTAATGATACTGTTTGCTTACCTCCAAGACAACTGATTACAGATGATTAGAGTTTTGTGCTTTAAAAAGCTATTGCAAAACAGGTTTGATATCTGAGTATCAGTGTTGCTCAGATAATCTCAAGAGGCTGAGGTTAAGACTGAGGAAGATTAGTTTTAGAAATCCTCTTTTAATTGCTAGTCTAGTGAAGTCTAGTTTGAGTAATGTGCAGTAAGTTCTGCCTTTGTTCAAAGGATTGGCAAATGTAAAACAAAATTATTCATGTGTTTAACATCTTAGGTCTCAGAGCAGGTATGAGTTTCATATTTTGTTTAATATGACCACTAGTCCAACCACTGTTCTTTATTTTACCACCAAGAATTATCTATTATTTATAAAGACAACTTTTCACACTATAAATACTCAAATATCTTTAATTTGTAAAAGTATTTCTTGGTTACTACAATAGAGAAAAGAAGTGACTTTATACTGGAAGAAGTTTTTGATTTGCAATTTTATGTATTCTAGTTGAAGCTGCCCATTCTGGAATGTTAAAAGACAACAGCAAACATATAGTATGGAGGGGTTACTTGGTATGTACTTTTACAATTTGTTGATTAGCTTTTGAATGTGTTAAACATTTTGTACATTTTTAGAAAGTTTCTTTGCTATTCTGTTTCCATAACTCACATGTAGTAAAAAGTAAAGCTTTCAGAGCAATCCTTATTAGTAGGTGAATTATTTTACCTTTAAACCTGTTTTCTTGTTTTTTAGACTACAGACAAAGAAGTTCCAGGTCTGGTATTAATGCAAGACTTGGCCTTTCTTAGTGGATTTCCAGCTACTTTCAAAGAAACAAACCAGCTACGAACAAAACTGCCGGAGAGCCTGGCCTCTAAAGTAAAACTGGTAAGGCTCTGGAGGAAAGAGTGCCTTAGTTGTACTGGTCTTTTGGAATGGCTCAGGTATGGAATCTTACCCACCTAGGAGACTTAGGATATTTCTGAGAGTAATCTGGGGTTTTTTTTGTGATTCTTTCCTGAGTAGTGAAGGGTAGAAAACAGTGACTCAAAGAGTCGCCTGCAAAAGACCGGTTGTCCATTCTGTGACTGCAAGTTCTTACTTAGGCATTACATTTGCTAGCCTGCAGCTGATTAAAAGTCAGTCTTATCAGTTTCTCTCAGCCATTTGCTGGAGGCTGTTTTCTTGCTGTAGAATCCTAGATCGCTGACTTGTTTAATGTGACAGAATTTTGTTTATGTAGCTTCTTAGCTTTTTTTCTTCCCTCTTAGCTTTCTTAACAGTAACAGCACTAAATGCTGTGCTTCTCTCTGACACGTGCTCTATAGGGTCTTAAGCAAGTTGCACTTTGGCTGACCCAGCTGCAAGGCAACAGAAAACAACTTGTGTGACTGCCATTTAGTGCCTTCTGTTCTCCCTGCTATTTGGACACCTGTTAAAGTTACAGTCAGGTTTAACAGATAGGTGAAAGTTTAAGAAGTTTATTAAAAGCATGGGCTTTTATACTGGAGATGTGATTCATGGGGTGAGAAGGATTGAGGCCAAGGAGTTTGTGGAGGAGAAGGAGTTAGCAGGGAAAACGGGATGGCAATCCATAGATAATTTGTTTTCATTTGTCTGATGTACACCTGTAATATCAGCTAATTCAGTTTGTAGCTTGTTCTTGGTGCTCAAACGAGCATGAGGTCCTTTTCCCCTTTAGTTTTTTTTCTTTTGGTAAGCTGGGCTAACAGCTTGTGTACTCTGTTGCAGAAATTATCTTGTGTAATTCCTTTCTTAGACTGGTCACACTCTAACATAATGCAATCTGAAATTCTTCTTTCTTGTCTCAACTTGTATTAGCTGACTTGGAGCTTTGCTAATGGCAGAAACCTGGCAAAGTAAACACATTTGTACCTCTCTTCCTGCATGTCCTAAAACAGATTAATAAAGACAGTTTTTAAGCACTTATTTGAACTTAAATAGGTACTTTCTTTTGCCTTTGCATCTCTAGTGTTAACAGCAGTTAAATAGCAGCGGATATTCATATGGCTCATTGCTGTCCAGATGAACATAAAGGCTGCATCCCATCTCCTTATGTGTCTTTATGGAAGTGACATCTCGTGCCTATTATCTTTCTGTATGATTTTTCCTTACCCTGTCTTGCTTGTGTTTTTTAGTCATTGGTCATGTGTCATCTGTTTGTGCTGATTCCCTTTTCCTTGGTGTGTTATCTGTGTGTAAACATTGCCACTGTGATTGTTCTTAAGAGCTCCTCTTCTGCAGTTTGGTTAGGCAGATCTGTGTCTGTATGAAGACAATTTTTTCTCAGGTATCCACAACACTCTGTGGTTTTTAATCATCTTTGCTGTCTGTGTTTCTTTTCCTGGTGGAGGATGCTTTAGAGCAGTTAGATTTGGATTATTATACCCTGTGTGGTCATAGCAGTGAATTCTTTCCCAAGCAGTCCTCTCTTCTTGATAACAGCAATTCATATATTCATATATGATAACAGCATTTCATATATATATTGTGAATGTAAGAATTGTTTTATTTTCATGCGTTAAGGTTTTTACATCAAGTGTGGATGGGGTTATTTCTATAGAAGCCTTTGTTAAGTTCTCAGCTTGGAAAACATGGCCAAGTGTGGTTTTCTTCTTACCAAAGGGAGATACTAGGTTCAAACTACAGTTAAGTAGAAAAAAGGTTGATTATTTGTAGTCTCCACTGACATTTGCAGCAATTCCTCCATTGTTACCATTTCTGGAATCTCTGAAGTGGTGTGAGATGCTTGGTGGAGAGGAAGAAAGTTGCACCTGGGCTTGGAACTAGACTTGCATCTCTTAGACACCTTCTGATGTTTAATAGGTTTCTGTATGTTTTAAGTGGCTGTTTCTTACTTCAGCATCACACACTTTAATATGTAGTGTTTCTTACTTCACCACCACACATTAAAGAAGTAATAATAAGAGCTTTGAACAATGCTGCTGTAAGAAAGGTGAGAAAAGGAGGAGTGTAGTTATCGGTGCATTTGTGTTGTATATTGATAATGCTGTTTTGGTTGGATTGCTTTAGTTTGGTTGAAATAACTTCTAAATCCAAGGAAGACCAAAAATTGTTCATATAGACCAGATAGTTCCTCTAAAAATCTAAATGTCTGAGCTCAACTAGAGGTAAATAAAATGTGAAGATTCATGATACAATGGATCTATTTTCCAGGTATATAATATAATCTGTTAGAGTCTACTGATTTTCTGTACTTATGGCCATTACTGTAATGTAATGATAGGAAAGTTTATTTCAAGATGAAAGTTGGGCAGCAGTGTGTCTGCTGGTCACATTTGTTGTTGTAGGTCGTGTGTTATGGCAGATGAAGTTGAAAGTGATATTTGACAGCTTTTTATCGTCCATGTATTCTTAACCAAGTGTTAGAAAGCCACTAGATGGAGGTGTTACTCTGGTTGTGCAGCTGATGGCTGCTGAGCTGTTTCTTTAAGGTTTCCAAAGACCTCACATTGGACCTACATGTGAAGAACAACTGAGTATTTCATTTTCACTTCCCCACTGTCCCCCACCTTGACTTAATTTCTAAAGGAGACTATTATTCAGCCTAAAGATATGCTTGTAACTTAAAAACTGCATTTGTTTAAGGACTTGATTTGTTTGATTTTGGATTTTTTGAGGCTGTCATGCTAACAGGTTTTCACTGAAATTGTACACAATAGTGAAAATTTTTGGAGAAAATTGATTTTTCCTTCAATATTTAATATCCTGATTGTTTCAAGGACAGCTAGGAGCTTGTAGATCTCCCTCTTTGCAAAATATCATCTCCTTTAATCCACATGCACACATACATACATAATATAGATAAGTTACGTTAGAAACTTAGGGATGTCTTAATGTCCATGTCTTACTAATGGAAGTACATCCACATGGGAAACTGCAGGCATCGTGATGTTGAGTGTTTGCTGTCCTCACTGGAGTTTGGGAGGGTCTGGCATCCTGACTGCTGTTCATCGATGTTTCTGGAGCAAACAGGTGGCTCCAGTGGATGGTCTTACGATCACACAGAGGTAGCAAAATGGCTTTGCAGGAAAAAGCCCTAAGGCATTGCATTAGTTTTGAATCAGAAATGACCCTCATACTATGCTGTCTTATAAAGTTCACTTGAGAGATTTGTAAAGACAGCAGTGTTTTGTATTTGTAAAGCTTTTTGTAGGTCTTCAGCATATGCTTCCTTTTCCTTGCTATGTAGGCATATGAGTGTTCCCAATATCCATATTGGAGTGGAAAAAGGGGAACTTCTTATTTCTTAATAATCAGCTTTGGTCATTAAGAAGATAAGTGTCGTGGTTTTAAACCAATAACTAAGAAAATTACTTATTTCTTGCTGTGAGATATGGATTAGAACAAGAGCAAAACAGGCATAAAACTTAAAAGGGAAAAAAAAGAAAGTTTATTGACAAACTACAATAAGAACACCAGAATAAACTTCCAGAAAAACCTTTTCATCCCCTGTCTACCCACTATTCCCTTGTTCACATGACAAGAGACAAAAACTTTGGAACTTTGATGGTTAAAACAGTCCCAATTCTTGCTACAGTCTTTCCACCAGTCTTTATAGAGAAACAGAAGTTTCTTCCTGTTAATTTATGGAGTTTCTCACAAGAAAAACTATTTCTTTTTTCCATTGCTCTAATGTTAGCTGCCCAGAGCTGCTGTTATTAGAGCCCACTCCTCCCATTTTTCACATCACTCTTAAGTGTGTATGGGCCATGAGTCTAGGGATGGGATTTTTAAGGATAAGTTATTCAAAGGCAAAAAGTCTTCTTCATCTGTTTCTGTGAGCTTCACTAGAAAACAGTTTTCTCATTGCCTCTCAAGGCTTCAAATCTTCCAGCACTTCACTGTACCATAATTACTCTACTTTTTACTCAAAATTTACACTTTGAACACTCTATTCCTCCCTATATACTGTCATGAATTAAAGGAGTGTTTTCAAGACCTTATTGTCCATTTCCATAGTTTTAACAGAAAGATATTTCAGCTTAATTAAAGCATCTTCTTAATTCTCTACCTTTTCTGAAGCTTCTTTTCTTTCCTGTCACTAGTAGTTTATAAAGTCTCTTTTCATGTTGATCACTCTCTTTTTTCTGTCTGGATAAAAAGATTAATCCGCAAGTCTCATCTGGGAAATGAAAGAGTTAAAATCTTGCCCAGGCTGTTGTAGGTAGTTCTGTGGCCTCGGCCGGTGCAGGAGCTGGAGCCGTCTGCGATGGAAAGTTCCTCATGGCTGCTCTGGAGAGTGTAGTCGCCGCGCCCAGCCCGCTGCAGGTCCAGAGCCTCTCTCCTTCTTCACTCAGCAGTTTCTAGTGAATTTAGTTACAGCAAAAAACCTGCAGCCGAGCCAGAGATCGGCTCGGCCCGGCCCGGCCGGAGCCCGGAGAAAACCCCCTCCACAGGGCCCGCATCCCCCGGCCGGGAGACGCTGGGCCCAGCCCAGTCCCCGCCCGGCCGCATGGCCTGGGCAGGGAACGGGAGGCCTGAAGCTCTGCCACCCTTCCCAGCCAGGAAACAAAGAGAACCAAGAGAGCTCTGGTTTTACACTTTAAGGTAGGGTTCACAAGTTGATCCCACTTTTCAATGGCCTAAACTGCTGTCAATTCTCAGCAATGACCGATAATTGGTCAGGAGAAAAGACGCCAGGCAGATCCCAGCAACTTAAACTTTCTTAAAGGTAAAGTAACTCCATGACAATAAGGTATAATAATTTAAGGACTGGTTAGGAATCTAAGTCCCACCTCAGAAAAAAAAAGTGTCCTTGAGGCCTCTTAACTTGAGAAAGTGGAAATGAAGGTATTTACTTCTGCATGGGGTGTCTGAGCTCATCTGGCTCCTAGTAAGCTAGAAGTGAAACATGCTGACTCCATGCTGGAGAACCTGCATTTCAAGTTCCCTGGTGGAGATAAAGCAGTTTTCCTGTCTCACTTTCAAGCGTATGATAAAAATGTTTCTCAATGGTGGTCTGGGTATGTGCCTGCAAGGTGTGTTCTCAGCCCACTTGCGTTAGCAGAGGCTCACCTGGTCACACTGACTCTCTGCATCTACCTTCTTGTTCTTCTGTTCTGTTTTTATAATACCTTTGGATGGGATGACCTGTTTCAGCAGGATGATGATGTTCTCTGGAATATTTTAATGGAATGGCTGATGGCATCCATCCCTGCAGACAGAGGCTGATACCTGTGGGATGTTAAAAAATCTGCCAGGAGACAATTCCATTTTGAATGTACCAGCAACAAAATGCTTGGAAATTATTAAAGCTTGAAATATATTAGAATATAGTTAGTTATTTCACCAGATAATGTCACTGAAGTCTTAACTTTATTGATAGCCTGCTTAGGAAGAGACTAGTTCAAAATGTATTACTGGAAAAAAACCCACTTTGATGCAATAAAAATGATCCATTCAGTGCAGGGGCTAGCAAAACTCTGATGCTGAGAAATGGAACGTGTTTTTCCACTGCATCCTGTATGTGCTTAGAATATTACAAATTTTAAAAACTACAGCATATGTGCTGTGTTAGTAGGGGGTAAGTGTTTGTAATAAATCTAATTAGGAGTTTGCAGTACAGGTACTTACTTTGCTGAGTTTGGGAGCAAGTTAAAGAGAAACTAAATGTTCTTACATGCTTTCAAAGCTCTAGGATGGTAATATTTTTGGTTTGTTGTATGTATGATTTACAAGAGAGATTCTAAGGGACTGTGTGACACTGTTGTATTGCTAAATAAAGTGCATACCCAGTGCTGGCAGCTTTGCAATCTGTAGCATTTCAATGTTGGTATTTTTGGAGGTTGCTGCCTGCAGTCCATAACTATACCTCAGCCATTTAGCTACTGAAGCCATCCTTTCCACTCATAAGTTCAGATGATTCCCTGGAAGGTCTGAGATTTATCAGATTTTTCTAATGACAGGCCTCATAAGTCAGATTGAAAGATCTCAAATAGCATATGAGTCAAAGCATCAACAGCTTTAAAATGTCACAAGTGGAGCAGCTGGTCCTGCTAAGGGAAGGGCTACTAGCTCTGGGACAAGTGTTGTTTTAAAATGAACAGAAAGGGTCAGATTTAATAAAAAATAAATAAAACCACTTAAGAGTTATTACGAAGGGAATTGTGATGTTTTTGCTTTTTTCGAACGTGATTATTCAAATTTGATAGCTTATGAGTTGCATTTACATTGAAAATTTTCTATGTTTCCTGAAGGAGCAAAAATTAAGCAAAGCATCAAATAAATATCAATGATTAACTGTGTTTATTGTTAATTAGACTGTTGAATACATGCACTTGGAAAATCAAAGCGCAGTGCTGCTTTTAGCTTGCTTGGCTCTGCTCATCCTACTTTGTATGGTAAACACAACATTTATTGGGTTATGCCATATTCCTAGGGAGCTGCTTTGATGCCCTGTGATCTGTAAACTATACTCACTGTTAGGGTGTGTAGTGCAAGCCCCTGATCCTGTGCATTATGAAATCTGATATACAGACTTACTGGTGGCAAGAGATAAAAACAGCAAACAGATCAAACAGTCCACAACTAAGAAATGACCTTAGCAGCATATTGGCAACCAGCAGTAAGGACTTGGAGACCCACATGGATTAGCTCTGAAGCCTTTTGTATCTCAGATTTCGGAGCTGTAGGTTGAACTAACTGTAAACCATTCTGAACATTTCACGCTTCTGGCTGACGATACATCAGTGCCCTAATTTTCTGGGAAGATCATTCCTTGTTTAAGATGGGAAAGAAAAGGACAAATCTTTCAGTCATAGGATAGTGTTAATAAAACATGAATTATGTTATTAGAGTGACAGAGAATAGATGGTGACTTACTATTCATTTACTCCCAAAATATTTAAAACATGTGAAGGTTTACTGTTGCTGGATCATTGTGTAAAGAGACATTTACTTTGCAAAGTGAAAATTGAGCGTAATGTTTTCTATCTTTAAATGATTTTTAGTTCCCATTTTACTACTTTTTTTGTGTTTTTACAAAATTGTAGCTCATTAAAAACAGTGCTTACCAGTCATTCTTATAAGTAACTAGTAAAAATAATGCAACAAAAAGATGGAAGAGTGCTGCTGGAGTTGTTTTCTCTGTCTGTATAGTTGCAGCTCTATTCAGAAGCCAGCGTGGCTCTCCTGCAACTGAATAACCCCAAGGGTTTCCAAGAACTGAGCAAGCAAGCGAAGAAGAACATGACTATAGATGGGAAAGAATTGATGCTTAATCCAGCTTATTTGCTGTGGGACCTCAGCTCTGTCAGTCAGGTAGGTAAATTCTCTTACAGCAGGTAAATGTTACAACATTTCAAAACTGCAAGTAGAGGTGAACTAGTCAATGACAAGGAATGTGGGATTTTTTTTTCCAGAAGCTTGGAAGTATTAAGAATAAAATATTTATTAGCTTGTAAGAAAACATCACAAGAATACTGTCCAGTTCTCAAATCAATGGGAAAGAAGGATCAAACAGGGTGATATTTAAATTTTCGTGTTCTCTACTAAGTGAAAAATGTTGCCCTCTGCACGTATTTTGATAAAGCTGTGTGCAGTCAAGTCCTTAAAGGCTTAACTGATCCTGTCTGGCAGATAAGCAGGCTTCTTGTGTGGGGAAATTGAGTTTTTTTTTTTAAAAAACATGGTTATCTTGTTCCCAATACGTTTCTTAAACATTTTTTGCTTTGCAGCATCGTTTATGCTGAGCAAGTGTTAATTGCTTCTCTTTCAAAAACGTTGAAGTCCTGAAATACAGATGTCTGTAAAGAAAGGAGGTTTACTTTAAATGCTTTTGGTGATGTTGGTTTGAGAACAGGAAATTAAATTACAAGGTGTCTGTTTCAAGATAAGATGTTCTGTAATCTTGGGGTTTTTCCTCCTGTTGGAATTTAATTTAACAGTAAATGTCAAGTGGTGTGGTTAGTGTGTCCACTCCTGAAAAGCTTGCAGTCTTCATATCCTGTGACCTGGACTTTTGGGAATTCTTCCTGGTTAATACCAAACCTGAGCTCAAACTTTATATTTCCCCATTTTGAAATTATGGTTTATTTTGTAAACAGGCACCTAGCCAATGTCTGCTGGTGTTGCTAAAATATTTTCAGTTCCTATTATATGAATTTGAAAGCTGTGTTACTGTACATATTAGAAAATCTATGTACATTGTGTAGAATCTGCAGTGAAAATGGTAATTGGTAAACATTCAACTATTTTCTTGAGTATTCTGTTTGATCTGGGTTTTAGAAAAGTTCCTTTTATGCAGCCTTACTTGTTGGTTTTAGGAGAGATCATTAAGCTCTCATAAATGTGAAAAAGAAACATGTTTCAGTGTCCTAAATGTAATTTTGTTACTTTAACAGTAAGTTTCTAACTGAAACATTTTCTATTTAATAAAAACATATGGAAACATTTAGCTATTTGATAGTGAATATTAGTCTAAGTTTTCTTAATTTTCTCCTGCTTAAATTCTTTAAAATAATAGAGCAGGGGATAATTAAAGAGCAGCTATATCATGACACTTCCAGTATATCTATATTAGGTGACATTTATATACAGCTTATGATGCAATATACTTGAAAGGCCCCAGCCCCTTGAAACTGGATTTCTGAAAGGTGATGTTACTGGTTTGAAATGGAGGAGGGAGTGTTTTTTCTGCTCCATTCTTCAAGAACTTTTTTCAGCATGGTCAACAGACATCCTAATAATACCAGGTGGTCAGCCAATGAGGTCAGAAGGTTTTATTGTTCACTTTCATAATTTGCAAGAATATGGTTCTTTATAAGAATAATGGTTATTATTAATATATTTTTTATTTTTGAATGTCTAAATCCTGAAATACTTATGCACCCATATGCCAAAGCACACTTTCCTTACCTAGCTGGATCAGAACTTTAGTATTCTATTGAAAATCTAAGACAGGATTTTTTCTTTTTGCAGTCCAAGCAGGATGAAGATGTTTCTGCCAGCCGCTTCGAGGACAACGAAGAGCTGCGGTACTCGTTGCGATCAATAGAGAGACACGCCCCTTGGGTGCGGCATATCTTCATTGTGACCAACGGGCAGATTCCCTCCTGGCTTAACCTGGATAATCCTCGGATAACTATAGTGACACATCAGGTAAAATTCAACAGGCCACAGCTATGAAAAGGCCAGCAAAGATATTTAGTTTGATTTGAAGTGGAATTATCCTCTTGCAGCAAAAGGCTGCGTTTATTTGGAAGAAGTGACAACCTCTTCTCTCTCTCACCCAGGGTTTTATCATGTATATCCTTATATTTGGGCTAAACAGATAGCTGTATATTTAGTACACTCTTCCAAATATTAAGGCTTCAGCTAACATATTAATGTTAGCTGTCTAATTTCCTTATAGAGTCTATTTATAAAAAGCTGGGGAGAAGAAAATGCAATCTGAATCTATAAACAGTCTCTCAGAACCAGTAATAACCTAGTAAGCTTGTGTTGAGACAGGATGAATTACAAATACTGGAACTAAAAAGATGGCTACAAAAAAAGTAGCTATGCATTCTAAAAATGTTATTTAAAAAGAGAAGAGGAATCCTTCAAGCTTCCTGAATAAGTAAAACCAAATTCTCTGTATTTCTCAAAGTAATTTTGGTATCTGGACATGCCCATACGAGTTCTGCACAACCAAAGTGCTAAAGAGATAATTACTCAACTTCTGCAGTCTGCTGGTGAAGTTACTTGAAAAAAATGGAACAAACCTGACTTTTTGAATGCTGCAACAGGTTCAGTTTGCTAAAAATTTTGTGCAGCCTGAAATTCATGAGAATTATTGATCTATGCTCTGAGCCTGGTCCAGGACTCATTGAAAGAGGAGTGTGTGAAAGTTTGACTTTGTGAGCAATCAGGTGCAATTTCTTAGTTAAGCAGCAGAACTGGAAATGGTTTTGTGTGGGGAAAAAGAGATATTAAAGGGTTTTTTTGGTTTTATATTTTTTGGTTTTTTGTTGGTGGTGGTTTTGGTGTTTAGTTTTTTTTTTTGTTTGGTTTTTTTTTGCTTTATTATCTTTTTTCTTTCGTATCTATCCTTATTCTTTTTTTATATAAGCTTTTTTTAGTAGATAAGTATCAAGTATTTGTGTGCCTTACTAAAACAGTTTTTGGTTGTTGGGGATTTTCTTGTCTTAGGAAATATTTCAGAATGTGAGTCACTTGCCTACCTTCAGTTCACCAGCTATTGAAAGTCACATTCATCGCATCAACGGCCTTTCTCAGAAGTTTATTTATCTCAATGATGATGTTATGTTTGGGAAGGATGTTTGGCCTGATGATTTTTACAGTCATTCTAAAGGTCAAAAGGTAAGCTGTTATGAAAAGGTATTTTAGCAAAAGTAGAACTTTTCTACTCTAATGATAAAAGCCAAAGGAATGCTACTTTGAAAGGGAGAGCACTCACTCCCCCTTTTATCTCTAAAGGTTCATTGTTCTTAACTAGAGAACTGTTGGCTGAGGTTCAGGGTGTGGAAGGCTCTTCCCTATATTCCTGTGTGTGCTGTGTTGGTAGGATTACTCTTTTTCATGTTCACTCCTACGTTTGGGTGGTTATAATGGTTCCTCTGTCAGGATTCACTTCAGTTTCAGTGTTATTCACTAGTTCTACTTTCTATTGGTGTAAGACTGATGTGGTGTTGGGCAGTTACCAGTCTTCCTTCCTTGTAAATTCTTTTTGTTTCGTGGGAAATACTCAAAACAAACAAGAATAAGCTTTTCTGTGGGAACACTGAAGTGAGATGACATTTAAACTGGTCTAATGTTGAAGTTTACAGTTAAATGCCTCTCTTCCAGACATCCATAATATCTTTTCCCAGTTTATATATGATTATATATATAAAATTTTATATATAATCATATATATATACACTCTATATACAATTGTTTGCTAAAATAATATATATTGTTCCACATTGATGAATGTAAAATAATTTAGTCTTTCAACAAGTCCATTATCAACAGCTGGGGTTTAAGCAAGGAGAGCAGGCTGAGGAAACATTAGCAATAGTTACACATAAACACTGGCTGCCAGCCAGTGAAATGGATTTTCATCTATTAGCTTGATCTTGAAGAGTGACGTGGAGGAAGGAATTGAAGATTTATATATTATTATTTCTATTAAAGCAATGGGTACACAAGGCACCACAGACCAATGAATTAAGAATTTTGTGCAGGCAGATGTGCACACTTGCACACAAATACAGAAGGGTTGAGCATAATTAGTTACATTAAAATACTTGCTTCCCTTTGGAAGGGATAACATTTACTTGACAGACAATGGGTTCTAAATTCTATTTGTAAAGTTCTGTGAAATCTTAAGGCACTGTACATAGGGAGCCATTATTGTAAGTCTCCATATTCAAAGAAACAAGCTCAGCTGACTTCTATTTGCCAGTCCTTGTCTCAGACTGTAATGTTGTTCCAGGTGTACTTGACTTGGCCTGTGCCAAACTGTGCCGAGGGATGTCCTGGCTCATGGATTAAAGATGGTTACTGTGATAAAGCCTGTAATAACTCAGCATGTGATTGGGATGGAGGTGATTGCATTGGTAAGACAGCAATGTTGAATTTAGGAAAAGTGTACTGTTTGTTTTTCCTTACAAGAATAATTCTGTAACTTGTCTTTTTCACATAACTACAGAATTTGCCTCCTTTAGTAATTAAAAAATAACAAAAAAGTTGACTTACAAATTAAAACCTTATTTCTTGCAAACTACAAATTTCTGTGGAAAATGAGAAATAGTAGGGCATAAGGTAATCTTTCTTTAGGTATCAAATTTGACTAGCTGAAAGAAGGGATTGTGAAATTTTAATTATTATATGTTAATCATATACAGTATTATATATTATTTGGATTCAGAATCCAAATAATAATGGCATGTGAAGCTGCACTATTAGTTCCTAGATGAAATTTTCAGGTCTGTGGTGTAATAAAATGAGGTGGTACTTCTGGTTTGAGGAAGTGATACCTTTCTAGGAGGCTGTAAAGTCAAGACTGCAAGCACAAGGAGTAATAAATCAGTTTTCTGCCTGCCTTTTTGACGTTAAGACAAAATATGTTGACACTTTGATTCCTAAACATTTACACTGAGTGTAAAGTCTATAGTATGCACAAACTCACAGAAGTCTAGTTAGGATTTGCTCCTTTTTAATTTCACTGATGACTATTTAGTCTTCAGTCTAGCTTTAACATGGTGGACTAAATGTGCCTTCCTTTGGTTATTTGAAATTCTTACTTCTGGTGGGTTTGTTTTTTCTTTTTTCTCTAGGTAACAGTGGGGGTAATCGCTATGTTGCTGGTGGAGGTGCAGTTGGAGGTATTGGGAATGGCCCACCATGGCAGTTTGGAGCAGGAATAAGTGGTGTTTCATACTGTAACCAGGGTTGTGCTAATTCCTGGCTAGCAGACAAATTCTGTGACCAGGCCTGCAATGTCCTCTCGTGTGGATTTGATGCTGGTGACTGTGGCCAGGGTATGTAAAAAGCATTGCTGATAAACTTCCTGCAGGGATTCTCTTGAATTTCCTGGCCTTTCTTGGTTCATCATTACTCTCAGATCAGGTTAAGGTGTTCTGTACAAGCATCTTTACCTGGCTAAGGACGATTGAATTGATGATACCTGCAGCAGTTAAAAAGTTTAAAGAGCCTCTCTGATGCTGACACTTCAAGTCTAGCTCTGGGCTCTTGCCAAAGGCTACTTTCAGTCACAAGTGAACTTGTCTGAAGTTCATTTGGATATGAATGATTAGCAAGGAATAAACAAAGTGATTGAAAGTGCTGTCTGGTATATGCAGGAGAAGAATTTGTCCTGTTTGGAAGAACAGAGGTTCCTCTGCATTTCAGCTGGGACAAATGGGTTTCTGGTGATTCTATTGCTAGCAGTGAGGTTTTGTTCATCTGGGAGATGACAGATAGTCTGTGTTCTGCTGTGGGAGTCAGAAGTTCCTTTCAGCCTATATGATTTTTAAAATATCAAATCAAAATGCATCACTGTAGTATGAACTCCAGCTGTTGTAACATTACTCTCCTAAAATGGGGCAAAAATGTAATATGGGCAAGCTACTTATGACTGAGACATAGTTTTAAGTGACATGATAATAAGACATTTTAAGCTCTTCAGGTAGAGACTGAATGATGAATTATACTGGCTTTAAGAATTAGCATGAGTGTCTGGTAGCTTTATATATCTGAGTATGTTCTTGTCTTCCGTTATTGAAGATATGTGAGCAAGAAACTGGAAACCAGAGTAAGTGTTCTTTCACAAAGCTGTCTCCCTGTTAATATAGTGACTGTAGCTGGGCATATTACTATTAAAAAAAGAGTCAAAGATAAATGTCATGCTGAAAATTGACAGAAATTTGTTTTGGTTTTTGTTTGGGTTTCTTTTTTTCCCAGATCACTTTGAAGAGATGTACAAGGTGATGCTTCAGCTTAATCAGACCTACTATGTTGTTCCCAAAGGTGAATGTCTGCCCTACTTCAGCTTCAGTGAAATAGCCAAGAAAGCAATTGAGGGCTCATACAGTGATAATCCAATTATCCGACATGCTTCAGTTGCTAACAAATGGAAAACTATCCATCTAATCATGCATAGTGGCATGAACACTACTGTGATCTATTTTAACCTTACATTCCTAAATAAAAATGATGAAGAGTTTAAAATGCAAATAGCTGTTGAAGTTGATACTAGAGAGGAACCAAAACAGAACACAACTTCCATGCAAAAATCTAACTCTGATTTAAAAAGTGTAACATCAGTACCAGAAGCTGAAATGATATTTGAGGATATTCCAGAAGAGAAACGCTTTCCAAGAGTCAGGAGACGTCGAAATGGCACAAAAGAGAGTGTACCTGAAGAGCTAATAATCCCATCAGTAAATGTGTCTCTTCTTCCAGAAGACGTCCAACTAGCACTGCAGAAACTGGACTTAAAACTAATAGATGGTGATATAACTCAGAAAGGATATAACCTATCCAAGGCTGCTCTCTTGAGACCTTTCCTGTTTTTGACCACTGCAAAGAGTATTGTAGGCCTGGAAAAAAAGGGTATGCATAATCATTCAGAAGATCAGAAGAACCAGAGCCGCTGGGAGAAGCCTTATAAAGATGTAAATGATGGCAAAATAAAAACAGTAAAAGCAAAGGAAGAAGTTCCTTTGAGGCTTATGGGAACAAAGGGGACTGTTGTGACAGTGAGCACAAATAAACATATTTATAAGGTTCAGCATAAAGCCACACTTCCCTCCCAGGGCATGGGGAAAAAAAATGAAACTCGAGAAAAAGTATTGAATGCACTCATATTAAGGGAAACGCAGAAATCAAAACATACTGAGAATTTTGATACAGGAGAAGGTGCACAGGGGATGGAAGGAGTAAAAAGGCATGAGCAGGTGGATGCAAATATAAAGGAGGGGATAGTGGGAAGAAAATTACAGTCATATGCTGGAAGTTACCAAGGCTTTTTGCCATGGGAGAAAAAGAAGTATTTCCAAGACCTTCTTGATGTGAGTATCTTAATGTCATTCCTTACTGGAATAGTTGCATGTTTCTGCATTTATTGGAGTACTGTTAATATGATTTATACATTTGAAATGTACTTTGCTTTTGAGGCAAATGCTGGGATTTTTTTGAAAGATACTTTTCACATAAAACGTGATTTGTTTATGATCTGGGTCTCTCTTACCTAGATGGTAAAAGTCAAATAGCTATTTCTGTTCCCTTTCTACTATCTTTTCTTGGTCAAATTCATTTTTTGTTCATTGTATGTTGTCACAGGGCTATTGCTCAGACACATGTAGCGCTATAACAGAAAGCTTAAGTTTTGTTTTGATTGCATTTATGCAGGTATGGATTCAGTTTATGTTTAAAAAATGCAGAAAATAGGTATAATGATAAATTCTAAAAGCTAAATTGAAAATCTGCAAAGATTTTGCTTATCTAGATTGTGTCAAGAAAATGTGTAGGAAATTTCCTCTGCTTCCATCCAAAGCATTTTGGTAGTTTTGAAAAGCTCTAGAAGAGAAGATACTTCAGTTGGTAGCAGCTGCTTTGCCCTGTTTCAAATAGCAAAGGGCTATGTTTTAAAAAGACTATCTCTCTCAGTTCATCTGAGATTGAATTTTGCATGATGAATCTTTATATTCATAGGATTTCTATTTATCAAATATGGATGAATGATCTGAAAAATAAATGCAGTATTACAAATAAATCTGATGGCAAATAGGGTCCTTAGTGTGTGTGAGGTTTGCATAAATATCATGGAAGCCTTTTATAGAATAGTTTCCTCAAAGCATGAAAGCTTTAAGGAAAAGCTTATTTTATTTCTTTTTAAAGGAAGATCTAAGGAATATGAAGAAAAATATTCAAAAATTCTCTTCCCATTTTCAGATATGGAAGGAGTTGACAGCTGGCTGAAATGTCATTTCTCCTGTGTGTCTTGTGTTTTCTGACTTTTTCAGTAAAGTAACCTAGATTTCTGCCTGTCCTGCTCTTTAGGAAGAAGAGTCATTACTCAAGCAAATGTCATACTTTACTGAAGGTAAACATTTTGGAAGGCAGCTGAAAGATACATTTGCTGATTCCCTTCGATACGTAAATAAGCTGTTAAACAGCAAGTTTGGATTTACATCTCGTAAAGTCCCTGCTCATATGCCTCACATGATTGACCGTACTGTTATGCAAGAGCTTCAGGATATGTGAGTGTGGTTTTGGTTGGAATAATGTAAAACTCTGGGAAATTCTGCCTTTCTGTTGCTTTGCTGTAGCCACTTCCAGTGTGTTATTGGGTACTCATTAAAATTATAATTTGGAAAAGGAAATAAGAAATTTATTACAACATGATAGTTGAGATACAATGAGATTTTTGAGACACTTTAGAAATTCTGGATAAGAATTTATTTTTAGGTAAGGAATGTTTTCTTCAAGGAATTAGAGGGCTAAATGTGTTTTCATTCCTATCTAGGTTTCCTGAGGAGTTTGACAAGACATCATTTCACAAAGTGCGTCACTCTGAAGATATGCAGTTTGCTTTTTCATATTTCTACTATCTTATGAGTGCAGTTCAGCCACTGAACATCTCTCAGATCTTTGATGAGGTTGATACAGACCAGTCAGGCATCTTATCTGACCGAGAGATTCGCACGTTGGCCACGAGGATCCATGAGCTACCACTAAGTTTGCAGGTACTCTTTCCTTACTGATTAGCTTTTAGAGCAGTTTCAGTTTTAAAGTCCAAAATGGTTAAAATAAAACGAGTCAAATTTTTATCCTTGCCTGTAGTGTCAGTAACATTTCGTAGTTTTTAAATATTACCTCGAAAATACAGCATTGTGTTTTATTTACCATTGTTTGATTGTTTTTTCTGTGGAATCCGCGATTAAACTAATTTCTAGCAGCTTCAGAAAATTGTTCACTGCTGTCTGAGTTCAAGGAAACAGTGTGAGTTTGTCCAAAAAAAAGTTCACTGCCAAGAGTTGGATCCTGCTGTGCTTACTGCAGTTTCTGCACATAGTAAAAGATAGTTCTTGCCCTGAGGAACTTGTGGCCTAAAGAAAGAACTGAGAAAAAGGATAGCAAGGAAGTCATACTAGTAAACAGTATGATCATATAGAAAGATTCATACTTCTGTTACTCATGCTTCTGTTCTTCTAGGAACAATAAGCAGAGACATGGTTCTTGTAGGACTTGCATTCTTAAACATACAGGTAGAGAACAAAGTGTAATGGTTTTGCTTTACAGAGAGGAAATGAAACAATTTGTTCATGACACAAGGCACAAAATCGATGGTGTAGTCAGAACACAGCCCTGCTTTAGTGTGTTCCTGGCCTGTACCTTAGTCAGAAAACCTTCCTGGCCCTGCAGTCAACTCTTCTGTTTGCCTTGGTTTGGAATTTAATATGCCAGTGTTGATTTGGTAACTCTGTACAGTCCTGATGTTGCTAGTAAAGATGTGTTTTTAATACCTTATCTGGTCTCAATTAAACTCTGTACTGAAAGTTTGCTTTACTTTATAGGGAGTCTCACTGACTTAGCAGTTACTGAAATAGGGTCTGCTGAATATTAAGTCTTCTCTTGTGGACAGTAGCATGGAAATTTGTTATGTCAATAACATTAAGTACATTTGTGTACCCTGTGTTTTTAGAACTATGTCAGTGAGAAAATCAGTAGGATTTTAAATGCTTTTTCCCCTCCCCCTCCTTTCTTTCTGTTAGGATTTGACAGGTCTAGAACAAATGCTAATAAATTGCTCTAAGGCTCTCCCTGCCAACATCACTCAGATCCATGTCATTCCTCCAACTCAAGAAGCATATTATGATCCAAATCTGGTAAGAAACATTGATCTTAAAAGATGCTTATTTTCTTTCCTGAGTATGTATTTACTTCAAAAGCTGGTTTGATTTCTAAAAGGAAAGTATTTACAAAAATTACTACTTGTATTTACATGAAGTGTTACAAAATGAAAATTTTATAGTCTGCTTCCTAACTTACTAACCCTTAATTTTCTTTAAAAGCAGAGAAAAGCTGAGATTTAGGATGTTATTATAATTGGGATTTAAAAAGTTATCCTGTTAAAAAAATTTACTGTTCTGAACCAAAAAGACAGTAAGCCCAATACCTCTCTAACTAGAACTTCCTGATAAGTCTTTATCTGAATTATAACATGTATTCAAAAAACACCCTAAAATCCAAAAATCTCTGTTGTACAGAGATTGCCTGGCCAGTTTTACTGGTGGCCTTTGTCAGACGAACATCAGACGGTTGTCAAGTGAGTTAGAATTCTTGAGTATTTTACTGAGAGAGAAGTTGCAATGTTTTTGCCAAAAAGTAATCTGTATTTTTCATATAATATTTGTAAAATAGGACATTGTGATGTTATGCACCAGTATTGTTTTGTTTTTTCGCTCCCCAGTTGATAACAAAACTATTGCTTTGGATTCCAGGAGAGTTAAATATGCAGGCCTCTCTAGCTGTAATACAAGTTTTCTTACAAAGTACACCTTTATAACACTGTAATTTTCAGTAACCTATAATCTAAACAGCGTTTTCTTCCAGCCTCCAGTAACCAAAAACCTAGTGACTAATTGCAAACCTGTGACTGACAGGATTCGTAAGGCTTACAAGGACAAAAACAAATACAGGTATGTTGTGGCAGTCCTGTGAAAAGAAATGCTTAGTGTTGTAAAGCCATAGGAGGAGGGATAAATACATACATAACCCAAGATTGCATGTGTGTGCTAACAAGTCTTAGCTGAAGCCTATTTTGACAGTGGCACTAAAGAAACATCTTGTTGTTAACTTATGTATGTTTCATTGTGCAGGGTGATATGGAGTTTTTTTGTAGACTAGTTTTCTTAGTAGACTAAATACTTCCACGTTGCTTGTGTCATCTTGGGCCATTTCCTACTTTGTATTGTACAATACTAAGTCCCAGAGTATGTCTGGATGGCTGGAGTGAGTGCAGTTCAAGCGGCATATAAAGAAGGAAAGAGCCTTCCTGTACCTAGAAGTTGTAAATGTACTTCATCCTTCCTTTTACTGAAGCTTAAAAAAAGAAAATAACAGAAAAAGCATTTTAATCTTAATTACCTTGTACTGTGTACCTTTCCAGTGAGATGGAGGGGTGACAGTGGTGTGAGCTTTGTAAGTGGAGGAGGGTCTCAGGTGAGACTTGAGGAAGTCTTCAGGGTGCTTTCTTATGTTAAGTGAAGTGAAAAATTTAAGTGTGGTATCTACTACTAGTAAGACTGTTAACTTGGAGTCAAATGCTCATATTTTATATGCTTTCTCTTAGAATCCAGGTCTATGATTGATAGGTGGTTACTAATAAATCTACAGAAAAGTGGTTCTCTGCAAGAGCAGTAGCTGAAAAATTTAAATGTATCAATAGAAAACAAATGGCAAATTTTAATGAAGGCTATCCAGTCAGATTAGAAATGTTGCTAAATAATGTTAAATACAAGATTGATATTTATTGAACCAGACTTTAGGCTGTTTTATTAATTTATAAATTTTATTTCAACAATAAGGTTTGAAATCATGGGAGAAGAGGAAATTGCATTCAAAATGATTCGCACAAATGTTTCTCATGTAGTTGGTCAGCTGGATGACATACGAAAAAATCCCAGGTATCCTGTTTCATGATTTGTGTGAAGTTGTCAGCTGCTTTTAATTTTCTGGTTTGACTCTTTAAACTTTTCTTGTATTTATAAGATAATTTATTGTCATGTATTTCTAAGCTGTGTGTTACAAGGTAAGACAAATTTGAACCAAAAGTACTTCTGATTTTTTTCTGTTTGACTGAATCTGGTGCCTCTCTCTATTATGCCAGGGGCTATGTCAATAATTTGTTACATTTTATTTATCTAAAATCTTTGAAAACTTAGAAACTTCAGCTATTTTTTAAGTTTTCGTTTTTGCCATTCTAGAGGGCATACAATTTTTATTGCAGGCAATTTTATTTTAAAGGAAGAACTTTTTGACCTGCTTTATGCAGGTATTTTATATTAGGAATTATGTGTGGATTATTTTGTTACTAAATCAGTTTTGCATATTCATTGTGCTTTCAAGCTCTTTTACAACATGGAAAGAATTTGCTTCTGTCTTCAGAAAACCAGAGTTTTCTGCCAGTTTAATGAGTCTGGCTGCAAGAAGAGGTCTGACAAGTGTTAAAAGGCAGAGCAAGGAGGAAATTAGAACCAGGTATCTTGGGCCAGGGAAAGTGAAGCCTCCTCTTTTGGTGACAGAAAGCTGTTGGGTAATCTCAGCTGCCTGTAAAGCTGTAGCATAATTTGTATTTGTAGATAAAGAGTAGATTTCTACTTTCCTCTCAATACTGTACTACTTTTGCTGGGTTATTTATTCAGAAAGGGAAATGTCTTGAGACATTTTTCAACTGAAGATGGTTTGTATCTATTGCTGTTCCTTTCAAAGAATGCCTTGTGGCCACATAACTCCTTCATTCCAGTTACCACAATAATCCATCTTAAAAGAAAAGTAGGCAGTGCTCTAGCTCATGCTGCTGCTTCCTTTCCCTTCTCTATTTCTTTGTCTTCTAGACAGTTGTTTTTTTTTAAAGGTAGGGGAGATTTCAAGTCTTGTAAGGCTCAGAGAGGCCTGAGTTACATAAGTTTCTCACCTTCAGTATTCACAAAGTGAGGAGTTGATTACCTGGGCTCTATTCCTGGGAAGTACAGTGCACAACTGTATTCGTATCTTGCTAACAAAGGAGAGCTGGCATAGTTATGTAGCCATGTCATTTCCTCCTCTTTGCCACATTTTCCTTGCATACAAACCAATAATTATAATGAGTCTCTAAAAGCAGGTTTTTAGTGCCAGTCTCAGAATGAACTGGAAGTGTCAGTGGAACTGATCTCCCAGAAATGTTTGGTTTTCACCCTGAAGGCAAAGTGAGTGTTAATTGTCTAGGCATTAATTCTGGAATACCCAAAGGAATAAAATGTTTGATTTCTTTTGGATGAATTTAAGCAGTCTTTCCATTAAAAATGGGCTAATATTCTCATCAATCCCGTACTTTGCTGTATGTAGCAACCTCTCACTCTGTAAGCTGTATCTCTTTTCGATGAAGCTAAACAGGAATATACACTCTAGGAATACAGCTACTGCATTCCCAGGGCTAATGAGCTGCCAGTCCAAGAGATGAGGTCAGGGATAGTCCAGAGTAAACTCCCAAAATGCTTAGAGCGTAGCCATGATTGCCATAACCAGCTGCTTTGCATAGTATTACTTGATACAGGAGATACAGCCTGCTCGCTTTTGGAGGGGCGTATTTTTTCTTCTCAGATGTAGCAATTTGAATGCCTGGTTATCCCCTGCACATAATTGTCTAGAGCAAGGTTACCAATTATGCTCGATACAGTACGTTGACATTCAGTGCTAATTACCTGTGTGGGCTGATATACAAGCTCCAGAGTTCTGCTTATTTCCAGATTCCTGTGGAAGTCTGAACTTTGCTCTTTGAAAGAGCACACCATACTATAGAGAATACAGCTGACCAGAGCTGCTTATTTACAAAGGTTAGCAGTGACAAGGCATATGTCACCAGATATGATTTCTGCCTCTGGGGAAAATGTAGGGGTCTTGTGTCTCACAATATAAATAAAGCACATAGCCTTGCCCAAATGTGGAAAGGGGAATTTTTGTTTGCAAGCACCAGGTCAGAGTGGCCAAGAGTACATAGCAGTACATAGGCACATTAGCTGCTGCCTGAGTTTCAATCAGTTGTAGTAACTTAGTTCCGTGTTTCTTATGTAAGAAATAGCTCTCTGCAGGAGCCATTATTGTGAGCATGCTTATTTGGTCACAGTGATTTCCATGTAAATTCTATCCAAATTGTTGTTTGTATTTTGGTTGGTTATACAAGTCTAGCTTTGGATCTGTGATTCAACAGACCAATTTTTATAATGTTCTTAGTAAACCAAAGCCTGGGGACCAAGCTTTGCTCTCTCGTATCCAATCTAATATAGTTTTTATGTTGATTTTCTTAAAAGAATTCAGCATGCACACTAAAATATTAATAATTTAGTATGATTCTCTCCTACAGTGGAGCTCACTTTGTTCTTTACGAGACTTTACTGATGATAATTCAGAAGTATAAAAATCCTTACCCAGATTGTAATGCTCTGTTCAATGAGCTCTGGGATGGTGCACACTCTAGTGCCCATTAGATGGCAGCATTATATAACTAGAAATGTGGCCTGTCACTGGATTCTTCTGAGGTTTTGATTTGCTGTCAATCCTAGTGTTCTTTGAATTAAAATAAAATTGATTTAAAATAATGCAACAATAAAAATATATATCTGTTTGGTTTTAAAATTATATGGTTTCAATTTTGTTTTAAATGACAATGTTTGTGTTATTGGTTTGGCAATACCTTTGCTATATTATCAAGGAAATACTCTAACAATGTCATCTTGTTTCCTAGAAAATTTGTTTGCCTAAATGACAATATTGATCACAATCATAAGGATGCACAAACAGTGAAAGCAGTGCTTAGGGATTTTTATGAGTCAATGTTTCCCATCCCTTCACAATTTGAACTGCCGAGAGAATATCGGAATCGTTTCCTTCACATGCATGAACTCCAAGAGTGGTATGTTCCACAAGTTCTTTTCACATTTCTGTAGTGCAGTAATATATCATTATCTAAGATACTGCTAACAAGCTGGTTTCCCCACAGTATTGTCATGAAAGAGTTAACAGTGAAAATAGCATGGTAAGATTTGAATGGACTAAAATATGAGGTCTGCAGGATTTGGGTTTTTCTGGTGCTTAGATAGTCATTGACATTTTATCAATTGGTCCTAACCTACTGCAAAAGTTGTTGCTTTATTCCTTTGTTTGGGTTTTTAAAAAATAAAACAGGAATTCTGGCTTTCTTTAAATGTAAAAATAAAACCTCAAACCATTGTTACACTTCTTACTAAGTGATTTTTTTCAATCTGCCACATAGCAATAACCATCTGGATAAAAATTAGAAAAGATAAATGTGTGTTCACATATTGCATATGCATATGTTCACATATTGCATGATATGTGAAATTTTTGTGTGTTTATCTCCTGCCATTTTATAAATAACAACTGAAGAAATTGGATTAATTGACTTCAGAAGACAAACAAAATGTTGACAGATACAGTGACAAAAAAGGACACAAGACTAATATAAGTAAACCTGTTGCTGATCAGCAAATCATAAGAAATAGCTGTTAATAAGAATATAGAAAATATTAGAGGAACTGTAGAAGGAATCAGAAGGATTGTAGGTGTGATTGTAGTGCTAGAAGTCCTGCTGTAGTAGTACCAGAGGGAGCAGGGCACAAACTCATTTCAGCAGTTAGCTTTAGAAATTTGTGCGGGAGGTGTAGACACAGTGTTGGCTCCCTTTTAGAGACCCTCCATCAAGACTTCTTGTAGTTCCAAAAAGACACTTAATTTTGACTTGTTTGTAGCCAAAGATGATTCTACCTGAGTGCATTGAGGCAGGCTAAAGTGCTGGTGGAAATCAAAGTATTTTCAGAATCATGGGACAGTCCAGGTTGGCAGGGACCTCAAAAGATCATCTGGTCCAACATTTCATGGGAAACTGTCTACTGCCAGCTCTAAAGTGTCCTGGCTACAGGTATACAGGTGTAGCAGGTAAGGGAATTGCAGTTTAGTCAAAAAGGACGAGTGTGACTGCAAAACCATAGTTGTCACAAGTAGATGTGGCACTTGAGGACAGAGTTTAGGTGTGGACTTGGCACAGTTAGCTTAACAGTTGGACTTGATCTTTGAGGTCTTTTCTAACTTAAAAGATTCTATGATCTAGCATCCTGAGCAGTCACATCTTGGAAACTTCTAGTGGTGCAGACTCTACCCCAGTCTCTGGGAAGACTGCTCCAGAAATGATTGTTTTGACTGTAAAAAACATTTCCTTATGTAAAGATGAAACCTCTCCCAGTCCAACTTGTAGCTGTTTCCCCTTGTCCTCTCTATGTGGCTCTTCATCAAGAGAGCGCCTACATCCTCTTTTTAGTCACCCTTTAAGAACTGCAAAAAACTTCCTTTGCATATTTTGTGGAAACTCTAAATATTTGCATTTATGATACATGAAGCTGTTTTTCTGTTTCCTTCTTTCTTTGTCTAGGAGGGCATATAGAGACAAGCTCAAATTCTGGACCCACTGTGTTCTAGTAACACTTATTGTATTTACAGTCATCTCGTTTTTTGCTGAACAGGTAAAGTTAATGTCTTCTTATCAAATCTGTATAACACTTAACAGATTGTGGAATCTTCAGGGATAACATTGGATGGATTTTTTAAATAGAATTTGAAGAGTAGCTAGGATTTTCCCTTCATAAAAGAAGTAAAGATGTTACATGACTCATGATTAGGTTGCTTTAATTTTTAAGTCACCGTGTTGAGATTCCTTGAAAAGAGAGTCATATGGGGAGAAGGAGAGTGGCACCTTCTCAGGTGCCTTGTGACAGTAAAGTCCATCACCAGTGTACTAAATTTGGATGCTCAAATTCAGTAATTGTTTTTGAAATTCTTGGTCTGTTAACATGGGTATTGGTAGAAGTGTATAGTAAGTTAAGAGGAAGGAAAATCAGTCCAGAAGGATCTTAAGTTACTTGAGGGCCTTATCAAAATTTCTTCCCTAAGTAATTGCAAAGACTTCTACTGAATTCGAAAGGTTTTGAATCTGACTCAAGGGGAAAAACCCCTTGACTTCTGCAAGCTTAAAATGGCTTTCTTGAACATGATTAGTCCTGCTAAACTCAGAGGGAGTCAATGGAACAAATCATATGGGTAATTCTTTGCAGGTTGGGGCCTTAAGTAACAGTTTCCGTGGTCTGATGAAGAGGGTGTAATTCTTGAAAGGTTGGCTTTTGATTATTACTTTTTTCCCACCTGTGGCTTTTGCATGACTCTTTCCCTTGATTTTCAGCCTTTTTTGTATATTAGAAAACTCCATTAGTAACTTGGTTTTAGAAGGGGATACTCAACTCAGTGGTATGGTTAGGTATCTAAATACCATTTTAAGATGCCAGCTTTATGCTGATCTATTAAAAATAGAATGTAGTCCAGTGTTAATTTAAATTGACAAATTACCTTTAAGATAATCAGAATAAAGGCATGGTGTATTTCTCACTTTCTGCTTGTATTCTGATTATTGAGAAGTCTAGTGGAAATGTGCACATCTAATAGATGAATTGGAGTGAAAAATGCCTTTCAGGTATAATCAGAAAAAAAAAAGTACAGTATTGAGAATTACCATGGGTGGTACAGATTTGAGAGTTTCTAGGATGAAAACCTGACCAGCTGTGGACCTTTAGCCCAGCAGAGAACTAGATATTGTATTTTTTTTCTCTCCTCAGCTAATTGCACTTAAACGAAAGATTTTTCCAAGGAGAAGGATCCAAAAAGAAGTTGGTCATGAACGAATCAAAGTGTAGAAGAGCTTTATTTTGGAGATCAGTCTACCTCAAGCTGTGATTAAGCATTTTAAATGTCTCTTTCATAAGTGTCTTTTCTGGTTTGCTGTTTAACTACATTGATATGAAGAAAAAAAACCATCCACCAACATTCAAATCTCTGCAGTATTCTTCATGATATAAAAGCTGCTGGAGCTGTGACAATGCAAAATAACAACAACAAATAATTGCAGGACATCTGTACATAGGCAGTTTTCAACAGATCTTACTTTACAACTCTTAGTTCATGGCCATGTTATCCTTTTTTATAAAAAGGGTTACCTAAACAAATGTAACTGCATTTATTGCAGTGGATGTTGCCAACTAGATAAAATGTTGGAAGGAAAAGTTGTTTGGGATCAGTTTAAGAAGTCCTTGATCTTGCATTCCAAAGCATTTTGCAAATTTCTGTCATTGCTGCTTTTTTTAGCCCTCCGGGGAAAATTGAGAATTATGTAACTTGTCATTTAAATTTAGAATACATTTATAGATGCTGACATTCTTTAAAGCACAGTGACAATTCATCTTCCTATTTGTAGTGTATAATTGGGATTTGAAAGAAAGGTATGCTACTAAAAAATTACATAGTAACAACATCTAATGGTTTATTTGAAAGATATTTTATATTTGGTGTATTATAGTCCAAAGAATACACAAAGAAATGGTGTTGTTTCCTGGCTTGATTACAAAGAGAAGGTTGTAATCAAAGGAAAATGATCAAGATAAAATATTTTACAAGCATTGTAAATAAAAAAAGCAGAAGTGCCTCTATATGAATGGGTAACAGTTTCAAAGTAGAAAAGTATGGGGAGCAGTGTTTCACTTCATAAAACAATATTTCTACCGACAGACAAAGCTGTGGTGTTTTTAAATTTAACAGGGTTTGGCCATGTATTTTGCTGAGATATCGGAGTAGTGTGGTTTTATGTGGGAAAGAGTACTGAGTCTTTTCAGGCAGAAATTTTTGGTGGTGTATCTTCACTTAATTGTATTAGCAGTACTCAAAAAGCATTAATTTTTGTAATCGGATGATGTACAAAATGTATGTGCATATGTGTTGTAAAATACTTGGCTTGCTTTGGAATTAACTAAAACGTGATGAAAGTTTTGTCTGCCGTTTCTGTTTCAAAGTCAACCGAGCTCGCACATTTTGGTAAATTAGCCAGGTATCTCTTTGAATCTTTATATCAAAAGCTCTTATTTTTTTTCCCGTTAAAAACCCTCCAGCTTTAATGATTTAATAGTAATCTGCAACACGACTCCGTTCTCCGAGTGGAATGACGCTTTTGAGCAGCGTGAGGAAGGATCCGCAGGCGCTGCCCACTCCTGAGGGCCGTCCCTGCCGCCCCCGTTCCCGCCCTTTGCCGGCGGCGGGAGGCTCTGAGGCGGCACCGTGCCCGTCCCGCCCGGGGCACCGGCGGGAGGCTCTGAGACAGCACCGTGCCCGTCCCGCCCGGGGCAGGGGCGGGAGGCTCTGAGGCGGCACCGTGCCCGTCCCGCCCGGGGCAGCGGCGGGAGGCGCTCAGGCGGCACCGTGCCCGTCCCGCCCGGGGCAGCGGCGGGAGGCGCTCAGGCAGCACCGTGCCCGTCCCGCCCGGGGCAGCGGCGGGAGGCTCTGAGGCGGCACCGTGCCCGTCCCGCCCGGGGCAGCGGCGGGAGGCTCTGAGGCGGCACCGTGCCCGTCCCGCCCGGGGCAGCGGCGGAGCGGCGTCAGGGCTGCCGGGGGCCCGCGGCTCTGGGGCCAGCGGCGTTCCCTCTGCTGCAACGGGAGGCTGCGAGGGGCCCTGTCCTGCCGCCTGTGCGACCCCTCAGGGTGCGCCTGAGGGCCCAAGTCTCCTTTGCTGCTCTGAGGTGGGTCCCCACCGTCAAAAGTCCCACGCAGGAAATTCACACAAGCACCGGTTTATTTAATATCTTTTTGGGGCCGGGTGGAAAAAAAGAGGTGAGTTTCTCTAAAATCATTGTTAAAATACACAGCTGTGGATTGAAGACGCTCAGATCGGCTAAAACAGGTACCTACACGGGATGGGTGAGGGCTGTGTGGGCTTGTGAGGTGGCCCGATTGTTTTACACCTGGCTGAGAAGGACTGAGAAGTTCTACGCTGTAAACTGATTTTTAGTACAATGAAAAGTGTCTATATGTCAGATAAAATAGATTCTTGCAATTCAAAGTTAAAGTGCCTTTGCAGCACAGGGGCGAACACTCTCCTCCTTTACATCGTGTCCTCAGCAGTCAGTAGTCAAAAAGCAGATTAAGTCTTGACAATTTCCTCTCATTTGAGGATAATTCTAATGCAAGTGCTTTTGATTTTCTAGTTAATAAGGACATTTGTTTTCCAAGACACTTGTAAAATCTAAAATTCTTCATACTACATAGAGAGGCATCAACCTCAGAAAAAGCTTGGTATTGAAAAGCAGTTTCTTCCTTAGCAGAGTGTGGCCATGTTTGTACAGATCCATGGAATTTGGGATTATAAAACATTTTCACAGCTATTGATAAATTTAAAAAACAAAACAAAACAAAAAAACCAAAAAACACCAGAAATAGGAAACTGAGGTGTGTGAGAGATTTGATATATTTTTTATTTTTTATTATTGTATATTCTTTATTATTGTGTGGGATGGCTTGTAGAATCACATTGTTTTCTATGGTTTATCATTTCTCTATTTTGGACAGTAGAATATTGGCATAGCTTTTGGGGAATACAGTATTGGCTATGACAAAATGTGTAATAAACCTTATGGAAGCTAAGATGGCAGACATCTTAAGAAAATGGATATTTATTTTTTTTCCAGCAGAATCAAGTACGTTTGTAATAGCCCTGGCATTTTTTTAGTATATTCTTAAAAGCATCACTGATGGGTAATGCTGTGGAATACCTCAAAACTAAACCAGTTCAGCACTGTTAAAGAGATACCCATAATAGTATTAATGTAAGCATGAAAATATATTTATTTTCAATTTATTGTGGAGGAAGTTAAGTCACAAATACAGTATACTATTTCAGCAGGAAAAGATCTCATCATGGCACCATCAGGAAGAAAGCATGGAGGAAAAGCTGGTAAACCAGCACAGGAAGATCAGACCATACCTAGTTATGACTTTGAGGAGGAAAGAAAACTGAGTGGATCAGAGGAAGATATTAGAGAAGGTGTTTATATGAATTTTTTAGCACATTTCTAAAATGTGAATTTTATCATGTTTGTGACTATGAATAGAAAGGAAGAACTTCTGAGTCAACCAGGAACTGAGCAAAACATGGTTTGTAATGCCTGAGACCACCAGCCTCCTACTGTGTAATTTTGATTCGTAATTTTCAAAATAATACAAATATCTATTTGTGGTTTTTCTTTTTAAAGGTACAGAATTACAGTACCTATTTTACAGTAAAATTCAGATTGGACTTTATAATATATTTTTGTTATTTTTAGCTTTCTGATGATTGCTGTATTGTGACTTGGGAATAATGGCGTAGCAGTGGACAGGAAAGTAAAATTGTTTGAGACCAGAGTAGAGAACTTAAAGCAGTGCCAGCTTCAGTCTGGCCCTGCAGAATAATTCACTGCCATCTGTCAACTCCAGGCTCAAAGTTACTGCTTGTGTTACTGATGGGAACTGACCATGAGATATGGTCAGGGAAATGGCATTACAGAAAAGTAATTATACTTTTAGTAACTCAAACAGCCAACACAAAGTATATTTTTGTAAATATTTATATAATCCGTCTTATTAAGGTGACACACCAGTAATGGACAAGCATGGAAAGAAAAGACCTCTGGTGACTACTCATGTTCCAGATGATGTGGGGTAAGGTTAGATGTCTGGGGACTTTTTACGAAATAATGAGGTCTTAAATAGATACCAACTTCAGTTATTCACAATGCTTATTTTTGCTTTGTTTGGGTGATAGATAATACAATAGTATTATCTAAAAAAAAAGTAGCATTTTAAATAGCAATTCTTCAGTTTCTTTGTAGATACTTTTTAACATTCAGAAAAATTTGACATATTCGTGAGTTCTTACAAATTTTTATTTATTTTAAAAGTTTTCTTCTAAATTGTTGATAATTTCATTAAATGCTATTAATTTTTTTCCTTCTCATTTTAGCTGAAGATTTAGTAATACTTTAAATGATCCAAATACTGCATGAAAAATAAATTATTTTTATGGATAAATCTTAAAAAGTTTAATATTCATGGGCAGAGTAAATCTAATAAAGTATACAATGATATAGTTTTCAAGCAGATTGTATCTGTTGAGTTGAAAATACTGTTTTTACTGTATTGTAACACTGCCTTGTACACTGGTGTTATAATCTTAAAGATGCGGTAAAAACAACCCTGATATTATTTGCCTTGGATATTTTTACTGTGCCAGTCATGTTAACTGAGATGGACTTGTTTTTATTTGGTGTTCCAAATAGCTTTTTTGTTTTCTTTGTTACAGAAAATTTCATTTACTGACCCCTCACTTAAGACCCTTTAAATGCCTAATAGTGCCTCTTTACTGGAGAGTGAGCTAATAGATTTTAGCTTTTTAGCTTTTTTTATTTTTTTTTTTTAAGGAAATTAGCCTGAAAAAAAAAACTCTCACAGGAGGACAAAAGGAATATAATTATTTTCTCTTATGGCAGTGGCAGTTATGTCACTGCTTAAAAGTAATAGGCATGTGAATAAAATTATTTTTAAGCATATTCAACAGGTCTTTAAAGTCAGAAAACGGGCAAATAAAAATTTGAAACACTGTTTTGTAGGGGTGAAGTACAGAATATGTTGGAGAGATTTGGAGGTAAGTACATTTACATTCTAATAAATAATTAAAAAAAAAAAAAGTTGCAGAGTTGAAAGTAGTTACTTACCATAAAATAACTTTCAAGACTCACATAAAATGACCGGTTTTTGTAGGATTTTTCAGCATTTCTGAATAAAGCCAGTTTTCAGGAAAAGAAAAAAAAGTTACAGCTAAGGAGAGCAAAGGGAAAGGAGCATATTATTATATTATTTATAATTATATTATATATAATTTATAATTATATATAATTGCATATTAATGAGTCACAGCTTGTAAGTGTAGATAATTACAAAGGAAAAGGGAAAGATGTGTGAGTACTTTGTATAATCAATTCCAATTTTAAGATGAAGTTTAAGACATAGTAAATATATTGTAGAGAAAAGAGACAATAGCAGTTGTCTTTTGGTCTCATTTAACTTTTTGTTACACTGACTTTAGAGGATACTGGGTGTGGCAAGACTTAAGTGAGAAATAAGGGGAATGTAAATGCTAATATAAACAGCAAAACAGAACAAATAGTTCTAATTCTAGACAAAAAATTTTGTAAGTAAAGTTTCATTGTGATATAGAATGAGAGAGCAGTCTGTACTTAGCACTTCCAGAAATCTTAGAGAACAGGGAACGGGCACATAAGAGAATTTCAGCAGTCAGAACAAATATGAATTTCTAGAACAGCCAGGTAACGAGGGTGAGTAATGCCAGTCATCCAGTGAAGAGAGATTTGCGTGTGTCACTTAGCAGGATTTAGTACAGTCATAATCAGATCCTCAGGTGACTTTACCTAGTTATATTACCAGCTAAATTCTAGATAGTGACAGATTAGAGAAAAAACACTTCTAACTTGTAAAGAATGTACAATACCTATCACAGAGTAAGCAAACATCGAAAAGCCATGGAAGGAAGGGAAACCATCTTAATGCCAGCATTACACACTCAATAACTGAATAATACTTTCATTATATGTAATAAAAGAAATCTGTACAGTCATTGCTTGCATTTCAAATTTAAGGTGAAAGAAGACCTTAAGTAACTGCTTAATCCACAAATTAGGACTTTTGGCTGTCACAAAATTACATATTTTGTATTACATATTAGAAAGGTTTTAGAGATCTGGCTATTCAGATAAGAGGAGGATTTAGATTCTAAAAAGTTTTGATTGCTTGTAATTTAAGACTCAAAAAAGGGGAAAAAAAGGGAAGGATGGAAGGAGGGAAAGTGAATGCATCAGAGATAGGATTCTGTTTGCACAGAAGAGTGGGTTTGGCTTTAGCAGAGGCAGATGCCTCAGCAAATTAGAGAGGTTAGACAGATGTTT